TGCTGCGGGCGCGCGGGACACCTCGTCGATGGCGGACGAGACTGGCCCCGCTATGGATCCTATCCCGGCGAGGCCCCCTAGGAAAGTTTTTGAATGATGCCTACGAACCGGGAGTCGTCGAAGCGGCGACCGAGGTTCGCAGTTTTGGCGTTTTTTTTCCGTGCGCAAGAAGGGCGGCTCGTTGCGGATCATCTTCGATCCTCGCAAGACCAACGCTCAATTTGTACCGCCTGATGGATTTGCTCTAGCCTCGCCGGAGGCGCTGGTGGACTCGGAGCTGCCCGCGGGGGGTCGCCCATGGGTCTCCGAAGGGGATGTCGAGAACTGCTATTGCCAGTTCCTGCTGCCCGAGGACCTGGGGGCCGACTTCGCGCCCCCGCCGGCGCCCCGACGCGCTCTACTACCGCCGCGCCCTCGCGCTCTGTTCCCGAGCGCCGCCGAACAGGTCCACCTCCTGGTTCGCGTGGGGCTGGAGCTGGGCCGCGGCGCTCGCGCAGGCGGCCAACGCGGAGCTGCTGCGGGCGGGGCCGCGCGGGCCTCGCCGCTGGATCTGCGTCCGGAGTCGCCGCGCGCCGTCGGTCGCTGAGCGGGGGCCTGCCGCACCGCCGCGCAGCGACAACTTCGCAGCACTGGGGGCCGACAAGGGGCCAGTTCAAGTGGAGGGCGGTTCGATGGAGAGGGGGCCGAGGGGCCGCGGGCTGGGCGCCCGCGACGCTGCTGGGCCGCAAGTCGACGTGGACCTCGTGGGGTTCAGCGTCGACGGCGAGGAGGGGGCGATCCACGTCGCGCCCGTGCGGTTCTGGCGGCTGGCCCTGAGCTCGGACTGCACCCCGACGCGCCCCCCCCTGGCGGGCGCCGAGCTGGGGCGCTTGATCGGCCGCCTGGCGCACGCGCTCCTGCTGCGCCGCGAGGTGCTGAGTCTCCTCAGCGCGACCTACGTCTGCGTCAGCAAGTGCTGCGCACGCCGTGTCCGGCTCTGGCCCTCAGTGGGCCGGGAGCTGCACTGGGCGCGCGCGCTGCCGCCGCTGGCGCGGGCCGACCTACGGGGGCCCTGGGCCCCAGCGCGATGGCCGCGGATGCGCCCCTGACTGGCCTGGGCGCGGTCGAGGAGCGCCCCTCGGCCGAGGCGGGGGCCCCACCTCGGCCCGCGCGCGCCCGACGCGCCCCGCCGTGGGGCGCGTCGGGCGCGCGCGGGGGCGCCGGCGCTTGAAGGAGCAGGAGCTGGTGGCCGAGGGCTCGCGGGCCCGCGCCTTGCGAGAGGGCGCCGTGGCTGACTCGCCCTTCCCGGACGTGCCCGCGGGCTTCTTGCGGGTCCTCTTCGTGGAAGACGGTGGCCTCGAGGCGCCGGCGGCACCGTGCTCCGATCCACCCCCTGAAGGGCGAAGCGCGGATCTGGGCGATGTGGAGGCAGGTGCGTTGCGTGGCGCACCATGGGTGCAGGCTCCTCTTTCTGTCGGACAGCATGTGCACATGCTGCGCAGTAGCAAAAGGGCGACCATCGGATTTTCCAAGTATTTCCCAGTTGCGTCATTTCACCGTACTTCAACTTTCCTCTTCGTGTCGAGCGTCTGTCCGATGGACCCCCTCCGAGTGGAACCCCGCCGACGGCCCCTAGAGGCGGTTCGAGCCTCGTCGGTTGCGGGGGATGGTACGCCGAAGGCTCCTGGCGCCGCCGCCGCGTGTTTTCCAGCGCCTCGGGATCCGCCGCCTCGGGCGTCAGGCGCGCCAGCGGGGAGCGAGCGTGGGCGCCGGGGCGGCGAGACCCCGTGCCAGGCGTCAATCCGCCGCTGTTGCTCCCCCGCCGACGACGGTCTTGCCGCAGCGCCGCCCCCGCGTCTCCAGGAAGCGCCGCTCACCCTCCTCGGGGCGGGCAGCGCCCCCCGGCGCCAGAGCCGGAGGCGCGTCCTCGGGCGGCGGCAACGCGGGCATCGAGGCCCAGCGCGAGCCGCTCCTGGTCCGCGAGCTCGGCGCCGTCCGCATGCAACCGCAGACTCTCGGCCTGGCCTGAAGCAGCGGCCCCTGCGATGATCTCCTGAACCGATGCGTCGGGCCGCGGCTCCACCCGGCGGGAAGCCCGCCCATCGGCCCCAGCGGAACCTGGCTCTCGATCCCCTCCTGGAGGTCCTCGAGGTACATGTCCCGCTCTGGCGTGGCGACCACCCACAAGCTCCAATGCACGCGCGAGCACAACAGGCGTTCCTGCCAAAAGAGCTCGCGATGATCCGTGTCGTGGAAGACGAGCACCCGCTGGCCCCGACGTAAGAGTGCGGACATATTGACCCCCAGGCGTGCACAAGGCCTCGATCTCGTGAACCCCGGCGCGGCGGAGCCACCACCAGACAAGGGCCGAGGCGGCCGCGAAGCCCAGCAGGAAGGCGAGCACCGCCACCAGCAACACCTCAAGGACTGGCTGTCCCGTGCACCCAGGCGTGGGACACGGAGCCGGCACCGTCAGGTTGGCAGGCCCACACCGCTGCAGTTGGCCCTCCAACGTACGAAGCACATCGCGGTCGACGGAGAAGCCCTCGCCCAGGTCCACCTGGCAGGTGCACCGCTGACCGTGCCAGATCGACCCCACATGTGCCAGGCCGCCCGCGCCCGCGGCAGCGACCCTCGCCCACTCCATGAATGGGCGAACCCACCGGCTCGCGCGGCTGTGTTTGATCCAACAAATGCGGATCAACAAATCTCAGGTCAACCTGATAGACCATCTCCAAGGCCTGGATAGCAAATCTGTCGACCACCAGAAATTGGGAAACATCGCTCTGGCAGCAGGCGTTCTCTTCTTGATTGCGGGTTCCAGCAATCCTCCTCTCCAATTGTTTTTCTTCCTCCATCGCCCAGAACTCAGACGGATAGTCAAATCCGCCAACCCTGTGGGCTTGCGTGAGGGGCTTGTCCGTTCCAGTCGTCGTCACCGTCATTCGTTAGTCGTCGACTCTGTCGACTCCTTTCCCTGCGCACCCCATTTCCCTGGGCCCGTCGCCGCCCCCATTTCCCTGCGACCCCCCTTTTCCTGGGTCCTCCTCCTCAAGTGCGCCAGCCTAAGCGAAATTGAGCAACGTCGTAATTGAGTCGAAAGGGAAGCCCCTTCCCTTTGATTCCTCCCCCGCCGGGGGGAGGGTCCTGCGGGGGGGTCGGGGTCAGATATGACCCCCCCCCCGGGTGTCTGGGGCCCCACAAAGCCCCAAGATGGGCCAAACGTGCCACAAGAGGCCCCCAAGGGCCACGAATTGCCGAACGATCTAGCCAAGACGCCTTGACGCCCCAGGAGTCCTGCAAGACGCCCCAAGAGGCCTCTGGAGCACTCGCAAGAGAGCCCCACGAGGAGAAGCATTGATTTCTCAAACGTATTGAAGCAATTCGGCGTTCTCGCATCTTCCGCTTCCCGACGCTCCAACACGGCCCAAGAGGCCCCCAGATCGCCCCAAGACGGCCCAAGAGTTCTCCAGGAGGGACCCAAAACGGCCCAATAGGGCCCTAAGACGGCCCAGGAAGCCCCAAGAGGGCCCAAAAGGAGGCCCAGACGAGAGACCAGAACGGACATTTCGAGCCCTCCAGGAGGAACCAGGAGGCCCCCAAGAGGCCCCCAAGAGGCCCCCAAGAGGCCCTCAACAGGCCCCCAAGAGGCCCCAAAGAGGCCCCCAAGAGGCTTCAGAAAGCCCCAAGAGCTCTCTGGAGGCCCTTAGAGTGTCCTCCTGCTGTTCCTCTTCCTCCTTCTCCTCGTCCTCGTCGTCGTCGTCTTCAGGGTCGGCGGCACCGGCCGTAAGGCCTTCTCAAAAGACCCTCTCAGAATCCTCCTCCCTTTCTTCCTCGTCCTCGTCCTCGTCGTCCTCGTCCTCCTCCTCCTCGTCTTTCTCCTCCTCCCTCCCAAACCGACTCCTGGAGCACTCCTGGAGCACGATCTGGCCATGATTTCGAAGAGAAGATGGCCGTGGCCACAACGCCCCATGAGGCCCTCAAGAGGGCACGGCAGACACCTCCAGGAACGCCGAGATCTCTCAAGAGGTCCGCGGGGACCCAGAACGACGCGAGACTGGCCGTCACGAGTCCCCGCCGACACGCCGCGCCCCCCCCCGGCCCCCACCCCCCAGAGAAGCTAAACAACTACAGAAGCAGAAGTCGTCAAAGGTCCGCGCGGACGTCCTTGATCTAATTAAACTGGGCCCCTTGCCGGGCATGCCGAACCCGCCAAGGGCGGCGCAAGAGGTGGTCCAGCGCCGATCTGAGAAGTCCGCGCTGACCTCCGAATGTTCATGCTCATGTAATTGTTTCTTCCTCGAATGCCTGGAACGCCCCGACTCAAAATGAACCGAGTCCCCCCAACTCGCCGCACCCGACGAGCCCCCCTTCTCCAGCGAGGGCGCCGGCGTGTTTCCTCCAGCGGCCGAGTGACGCCACTGCAGCGAGAGCGAGAATCGAATCCCCCACGGCGAAGCGAGTGGGTGGTCATTCTTCGGGCAACAGCTCGGTCTCCGGCGGCCTCTCGGGACGATCCGGACATCCCGGGACGCTCTCGGCTAGGCGCAACTGCTGAAACGCACACCGAGGCCGGAACAACGCCGCGAACCACCGAATGCCTCCAAAACCTCGAACCTCTATTCCGATACGTTCCCCACTTCCCCTCCCCCCCTGGCCCCCACATGCCCCCCCTCCCCCCTGGCGAGGGCACGGGGGGAGCCCCTCGAAGGTGGAAGGAAAGAAGCCGATGACCCTGATGACCTGAACTCGGAGACGTCGGTGCCGAAGTTGGTCACCGCCCGTTTCGGTCTCCTCCCCCCTCCTCCTCCTCCTCCTCCTCCTCCTCCTCCTCCTCCTCCTTCTCCGCTTCCTCCTCCTCCACCTCCTCCACCTCCCCTCCTCCACCTCCGCCGCCTGCTCCTCCGCGACAGCGTGGTCATGGCCAGCGTGCTTCGTCCCTCGAGCGGGGGGGCAAGCAGCAGAGCCCCGAGGCGCGGACGGCGCGCCCGGCGGGGGCAGGCGGGCGCGCAGCGGGGCGCCTCCCGAAGGGGCGCGGGCTGCCAGAGGCCTCGCGCCTGCGGCGCGGCAGCGCGGACATAAGTGTGCCAATCTCAGGGTCGGGCCCTGCCTGCTCCGCCTGGTGCCCGTCCCTCCCTTCACCTGTTCCTCCTCCTTTTCGTCCCCCTCCCCCCCGCTACTCCTCCTCCGCCTTCGCATCCGCCTCCGCCTGCTTTACCTCCTCCTCCTCCGCCTCCTCCTCTGCCTCCTCCTCGTCCTCCTCCTCTTTCCCTCTCCATTATAGATAACCCCTCCGTGACGCACCCCGAGAAACGTCCGTAGGGTGGGCAGGGCGTTTCGACGGAGACTTCCTAACCATGTGTGGTCCTGCACCGTAGAAATTGCAGCAGCTCCGTTGACGGAGGACGGACCGCTGAGCGCCGCGCGCACTCGCTTCGTTAGATTACAGTCGTTTCGCGGATCGAGAGCACGTGGTTTTCAAAATGTAACTCTCGCCTTTGTGCTGCGCGTGTTCGTTTGGAAACTGCAAGAGTTTCGCGGTTCGAGGGCGGACCGCTTTCAACATGTGGATCTCGCCTGAGCGCCGCGCACACTCGTTGCAATCAGTTGTAAAAGTGTCTCGGTTCGAGGGCGGGCCACTTTCAAAAAGGCGTTCTAGCCCAAGCGCCGCTCACCTTTTTCTTCGTTTCAAGAACCCCACCAGCCCTCTAGGCACTGCTGGTCTAGAGCGTCTCCTCCTCCACATCCATTCTTCCCTTTCGGGAGGGTTTACCCCTCCCCCTACCCCCTCCCCTGCACCTGGACGGGGGCGATCGCGAGGTGTCAGGGGGTACTTGTTCGTCCAAGACGGCCCCAAGATGGCTCAAGATAGCGCAGGATGCCTCGAAATGGCTCCCAAGATGCTCCAAGACGCCCGAGGACTGCCCGAAGACGGCTCTAAGTTGCCAAAGGAGTTTCCCAAGGATGGCCCAAGAGGCCAAAATCATTCAAACACCTTTGGAAAATCAATGCTTTTGGTTTTCTCGCCTTTTCGCTTCCCTAGGAAGGGCCCACGGGAACCCGAAAACGGCCCCAAGAGCGCCCAAGAGCGCTCCAAGAGCGCCCAAAGAACGCTCACAAAAGCGACGAGGGGCTCTCCCGACGGGAGAGAGGCTGATTCAGGGAACCCCCTTCTTTGAGCCTTTTCGTTTCCGATGGCCATCCGAGGCCGCAAGATGGCTCCAAGATGGCCCGAGGCTCCCAAGAGCGCTTCAAGAAGGCCCCAAGAGGCGCCCAGGAGGCCCCAACAGGCGCCCACGAGGCCCCCAAGAGGCTCCCAAAAGACCCCTGAGAGGCCCCAAGAAGCTCTGCGAGGCACCCAAGACGCTCTAAGAGGCGTCCTGGACCACCAAGAGGCCCCCAAGACGCTCCAAGATGGCTGCCCTTCCCCTGTGCGCCGCTCGCTTCCCTGATCGAGGCAAATCCACTGAGCATCGCTTGTGGATGGGCTGGTGGGGTTCTTTTTCGTTCGCGAGCGATGCGGAGCAACTGCGCGCCGTCAAGAAGCGAACGTCTGATGGGGTTATTTGTTTGGCTCGCGGCTCCAAGGCGAGAGACAGGGAGCGAGCACAACGTCCTGGGCGCGGTACGTAGATAGTTGGCGCGAGATTGCCGCGGATTCCAGCGGACAACGCACGCAGCGGCACATGCACATGCCAGGGACAAAATGCCCCTCGTTGAGACGCATTTCAGCGTCTGCTGGTGACCGCCAGACAGCCCGGCTGGTGGGGGAGCAAAAGACGCGGCAACAAGGCGGCAACGGAACGGGGGGCAGATGTCGCCCTTGCGGCGCCAAGCTCCAGCCGAACCGCAATCGGAAGCGAGGCCAAGACGGACAGCACGACACTGTAAAACCCGCGGGCAGAACGCGAGTCCGAACGGCCAATGACCAGACGGAACCCACGTGTGCACACTGAGCCAGGCCGTCCAAGACCTCGGAAAAAAGGGGCGAGCGCGAGCGAGAGCAACTAACTCAGACTCACTGCGCCACCACGAGCATACGATGATGCGGCGAAGGTGACCCGACTCACCAAGGCTAACTGAAGCTGAGGTGTGGCTGATCCGCGTCAGAGCACCATCCAGTCAGAGGCAGACCACTGGTGTGCGCTCACGAGGCTGAGCAACCTCCAGCCGGTAGCCTGTGCGCTTACATCGTATCCGAATCGCGCTGTTCGGGGGCACAACGATGCACTTGTACTGACGACGGCTAGGGCTGTGGCTGCGCCGAGAAGAGCGAAACGAACTCGAACCGCAGAAAGCTGAACCACTCGATGCGGGGCCGTTCACTTTGACGAGGCCAATCACCATGTGTATGGCGGACAGCCGCACCCACTCAACACCTGCCACGCTGCCCGTGCAGAAGCCAAATACCTCCGACGCCGGCGCGAACCGATGGCTGGCAGCTGTAGAGCTGCTGGGCCGTACCGTTCGCTGGCGGCGTGCTGACGGCGGGCCAAAACGTCCTTGTAGTAGAACCATGGCCGGGTCGGCGACGAAGGGAGGACCGCTGTTCCCTGGGCAGGTCTCAGGGCAGACGCGCTTCTGCGGCCGGCGCAATGTGATGGCGCTGTTGGGCAGGGGGGGGCGCAGCCAAAAGCCGCTGAGACGAGTGCCGTTGAGGGGAGGAGGAGGAGAGGACGCAGCCAAAAGCCGCTGGACACAGATTAAGATGGGAAGAGGCCGGCGGCCGCACTGCCGCCTGTGACAACTTATTCCAGAGGCGGGAGCGTCTTGGCGGGGGGGGGCCGCGCCACTGCGTGACGAACGCGCCTGTCCCCGTGAAGGGTGTACAGGACACGGCTAGCGTGGCCTCCGTGCCTCACACAGGGCACCCATGCACTGTACCTCTTGTCCACGGGAGGGTGGGGCTGCACACGGATAGGCAAAGAAGGTGGTGCGCAGGGGGTGGGCTATTTCAGCCACCAACCACTGCCGTCCAAAGTGGGTGTAGTACACGGAAAGGCGAAAGAGGTGGAGCGCAGGAGGTGGGTTATTTCAGCCACCAGTCACTGCCGTCCAAAGTGGCTTTCGTGGACAGCGGGAGTGTGGGGCCCGGGGGGGTGACTGCATACGACCCCAGATCCCTCGCTAGCAGTGGCCTCCGTCGTGGGTGGCTGTGGCCGTGGCCCAGTGCGGCAGACGAAGACGCTCCAGTCGGCCGCAGGGGAAGAGAAGCCTGGCAAGGTCCACGAATCCAGCGTGGGCTGTCTATCTGAGCAGACTTGATGGGGAGCGTCTAGAATTTGCTAGATGGGACGGGCCGCTTTCAACATGTGTTTCTCGTCTGAGCGCCGCGCAGAGTCGTTAAAACATGAAATAATTGCACGGATCGAGGGCGGTTAAAACGTGGCTGGCTCTCGCCATAGCGCCGCGCACACTCGTCTTACCAGTGTACAGCAGCTTCAAGGATTATCCTGGCTAACGCCCCGGAGATTGTGTTTTGGCCCGGTGTAGATTTGTCAGGGCGGAGCAGTTACATTGATTCGCGGTGGTGAAGTCCCACGAATTGCATTATGGTGCGATTCAGGATCGTTGAGACGCAATACTAACGTAGGTTCGCGGCATTGAAGTACTGGGGCATTTCACTTCCCTCCATGAAAGGAACTCCTTGTATGGGCCTATGAGGAGGGAACTTGAAGGGAGAATTGATTGCAACATCGCTGGTGAATATTGAAATTGCACTGGTCCTTCTCCTTCTGCCCCTCCCTTGCACCTCCGCCTCCGCCGCCGCCTCCGGCACCTCCTCCTCATCATCCTCCTCCTCATCATCATCCTCCTCATCCTCCTTTACCTCATCTCCCTGCCCTGCTCCTCCGCCTTCTCCTCCCCCGCCTCCCTTCTGCTCTTCTCTTCCCGTCGTCCTCTGTCTCCCTGCCCCTCCTCCTCCTCCTCCTCCTCCTCCTCCTCCGCCCCTCCGCCTCTGTCTTTGTCTATCCTCCCCCACCTCCCTGCTCTTTCCCCATGTTGCCGTTTGAAGCGGGGCCTCCCGCCATCGTCAGGAAAACGATTCTCAGATGCCTGAGTTGTGATGTTCTCTCCGCGTGCCCCGCCCAGCAGCTGGCCACCACCCCTGGTAGAAGGGAATCGAATCCTTCCCCCCTCTTAGTTTCATCCACACTCCTCGTCGTTTGCCTCCCTTACGGTCATCCTTCTCCTCCCTCCTCTTTCCCTCCTGATCACCCTCCTCCATCCTCATCTACAACCTGCCCTGCCATGCCTTTCTGCAGACGACAGGTCATGGGGGCGAACTTGCCTCGCAAAGACCATCCCATGAAGCAGAGGGGTCCCGAGGGGAACTGGTTCTGACGGTTGTTGACCGCATTGGACTCTCAGAGCCCTCCCATGGCCAGGCGCCGTCAACAAAAAAGACGCGGATAACAACAGCTGTCCCTGGGGTAAGGGTCGGGACTTCTGGAAAGTATTAGATAACACAATCACAGGCGAGTCAAGCCTGCTTGGTCATACACACACGCGCAGACACACACACAAACACACACAAACGCACGCACGCACGCACGCACGCACACACACGCACACACACACACCCACACACGCGCGCGAAGCATGCCTATACGACCACCCTTCGGATGATAAGGAGGATGTGGGAGGGGTGAAGAAAGGTGGGGGAACCAACATCTGACTCGATCGATCTCACTATCGATCTCACTCAACGGGACACCACGGGACACTTGTCGATCTCACTATCGATCTCACTATCGATCTCACTCAGCGGGACACCACGGGCCACCACGGGACACCGCGGGACATCTCTCGATCTCACTATCGGTTTCACTATCGATCTCACTCAGCGGGACACCATAGGACAGCACGGGACACCTCGGGACACCACATCGATCTCACGATCGATATCACTATCGATCTCACTCAACCGGACACCTCGGGACACCACGGGACTTCGGCGGGACACCAGCGGGACACCAACGGGACACCGGCAGGACACCGCGGGCCACCGGCCGCCGGAGGAGAAACATTTGGTCCGGCCGCGGCCCAGCCACAGGAGGATTTCGAGACACCAGCGGGACACCAGCGGGACACCGCGGGCCACCGGCCGCCGGAGGAGAAACATTTGGTCCGGCCGCGGCCCAGCCACAGGAGGATTTCCTCTCGCCCGCCCACGCAGCTTCGCCTCGCCCGCACGCACGCACGGCACGCACGACACGAACCCGAAACCGAAATCGATTTCCCTGTAGGGGGGGTTCCCCCCAACCTCCGATAACCATGAGCGCGCGGGCCACGAACAAGAGAACCTTCGCCGAATGCTAAATGCCCCATGAAGAAACCACAGAAAGAAGAGCATTCCAAGGTAAAGATCCCAAGCATGAACAGCACAAGGGTACCCCTCCCAAGCTAGTGGGGTGACGGCGAGAGCGAAGACAAGGACGGCGACTAAACTGGGAATTAGAACGAGCGTGATGCTGAGGATGGTGAGATTCGGTTCGGGCACTGCGGGAGTCTTTGCCGAAATAGTGCTGCACTCAACACCTGGGCGTCGTCTTCACGACACTCGAAATGAGGCACTGCTATGGATGAGAATGAAGGAGGGCGATGTCTGGCAAACTAGTCTGCCGCATGAATGCCAGCTCCTGCCCTGCCGCCTGCTCGAGGCACTCCCCTCCAAACAGCAGCAAAAGCTTGCGCTCGGGGGACAACTCGCATGCGCGTCAAGACAACTGTCCCAGAATCGCGGAGTCGGGCAGCCGTTGCAGCCCCCCTTACCTCCTCCCCTCATCCTTTCCCTGTTGGCTTTTCTGTCTCAGGCGCTCCGGTAAGCGGAATAGACGAAAGAGGAAGAGGACCGGCCGGCAGGAGCTGGGAAGGTAGGGACATGGTGGGCCCTTTTGGAACCTCTTGGCCATGCCCCAGGGGCCGAGGCCCCTGACCTGACTCACACCCGCGACGATTGAGGTTTGGCCTGTCCACCCGACTGGCTCTCTGGGGGGAAGTGTGAAAGCAAGAGGATTCTATTCCATCCATTCTACCACATCGAGTCCCTTGCACGCCAAATTGTGACAAAGCTGTGGATGGCTTGTGCTGGGCCTATGGCGGTGGGCTGCTTTTCGGCCGGAGGGGTGTTTTAACCCCAAGGGCCGCTGGCTCTGGCTCCCAACGTATTAAAAACTGGCGGAACTCCTGAGACGGCATGATGCCCAGACCCCGATTGTTCGCAGCGCAGACCCATGGACGTCTCGACGCCTTCCCCGGGGCCGGTGGCTCCGCCCCCTTGTTACTGGCGGTCCCTGGGGTTTCGGCAAAGGCCACAAAGGGGGCCGAGCGCTGGTTTCTTCGTCACGACGCGCGGGTGTCCGGGCGAATCTGGGGAAACCAAAAGATACTTATACTGCTACTCCCTTGACCTCTCCCAAAATTCGTTCTGACCAGAATTTCGGGGCGACTCCAGCCGTGGCAACGAGGACCTGCCAGGCGGCCCAAGCAAAGCGAAAACACTGGAATGGCGGCTGCATCCGTAATCCGTGCATGTCTCCGCGCCGCCAAAATATGTCCATATCCGCTGCCGCGGGGCCGTGTCCCTGGGACTCGGGGGGCGGTGGATGTGGATGTCTGCCCGCCCACTCGGGCACGCATCCAGAGAGAGAGAGAGAAAGAGAGAGAAAGAGAGGGACAGAGAAGGGGAGAGAAAGAGAGACAGAGAGAAAGAGAAAGAGAGGAAAAACAACAAATAAAGAGAGAGAGAGAGAGTGAGAGGAACAAAACAAAATATACCGCCCAAACATCCACCGCCCCTGGAGATCCCAGGGCACGACACTGAAGCGGTGGACATAAACATGACCTGGTGGCGGATGTTCCTCCTCTGGTAAGCGCTGGAAACCCGGGGGCGGCGGCATGACAGACCCGCCCTCCCACACCCCCGCCCAACGGCTCGCGGCCTGTGGGGCAGCGAGGCCGCATGGCCCATCATGAGGTCGCCCCCCGTGCGGTCCGGCTCGCGCCGCGGCTGCGCTGAGGGTCCACTGGGGCCTGCGCCTGAGTGGGCTGGGTTGCGTGATTGCGAGGGCGACGGCAAATCAACAACAACATCATCGTGCCGATTCACGTCTACATCACGGTCGTGCCGTAGTGCGAGCCCGTTTCTCATCGCATGGGTGGTTGGGAGAGGAGGTGTGAACGGAGGTGAAGAGCCGAAAGACAGGTAGTAGCGATGGCAGCGATAGCAAGATTCGTCCCTCCTGAACCTCTGAAGCTAATCCAATATATCCGACACCTTGAGCCAATAGGGTCAGCGGTAAAGAGAGGTAAGAATGAGAAAAAGAAAAGGAATACACACAGGGAGGCGGGCAGAGCGGCATGGCGGGGAAGACGACGAGGCGGGCGAGGCGAGGTGGGCGAGGAAGACCTTCAAAGGGGGCCCCAGGAAGGCGGGCTCTCAAAGAGGCATCTCGAGGAGGCCTCCCCGAGAGAGATTCTCTCTCGGGAGGTTGTGCTGGAGGTTGTGCTGGAGGTTGTGCTGGATGTTGTGCTGGAGGTTGTGCTGGAGGTTATGCTGGGGGTTTTGCTGGGGAGGGTTGTGCTGGAGGTTGTGCTGGGGGTTGTGCTGGAGGTTGCGTTGGAGGTTGTGCTCGAGGTTGTGCAGGACGTTGTGCTGGAGGTTGAGCTGGAGGTTGTGCTGGGGGGTTGTGCTGGGGAGGGTTGTGCTGAGGGGTTGTGCTGGGGAGGGTTGTGCTGGGGGGCCGTGCTGGGGGGTTTTCAGGGCTGTGCTGGGGGGTTGTGCTGGGGGGTTGTGCTGGGGGTTTGTGCTGGGGGTTTGTGCTGAGGGGGGCTGGTGCTTCGGGATTGTGCAGGGTGGTGGTGCTGGGGGGTAACCCCCCAGCAAAACAAAACGCCAACAAAACAAGCGGCGCGTGCCCACGAGAAAACAAAACGCCCAACAAAACGTGCGGCACGCGCCTGTGCCAGAACAGAACGACCAACAAAACGGCAGTCCGGTGGCCAAAACGCATGGGCGCGACGGCCGGCATTCAGAGCATGTGAAAACGTGTTTCGAAACGCGTTCACAACGAAAAACAAAAGCAAAACGGAAACACATGGGAAAACATAGGAAAACACCGTTTAGGTCAAGCCCAGAGAGAGAAGGCGACGATGTGGGTGAGGCGAGGTGGGCGAGGAAGGCATTCAAAGGGGGGCCCTTGGAGGGCAGTCTCTCTCACAAAGGCTTCTCGAAGAGGCCCTCCCGAGGTGCGGCCCACGATGGCCCCAAGGTAGCACAAGGGAGGCCCACGAGCAGGGCCCAGGGCCCCAAGACGGCCCCAAGACAGTTAACCTTTCATTGAAGATAAAACTTCCAGCTGGTAGCCAATATTTTGCAAATCCCACCAGCCCTTTGGGCGCAGGTGGTCTAGAGCGTTTCCTTGTCCAACCTCCTGCCTTTCCCTGCTCGGGAGGTGTACCTTCCCCCCCGTGTCTGGACGGGCGCCCCGGCGATGTGGCAGAGGGTCCTTTTTGATCCAAGGTGGCCCCAGGAGGGCTTCAGAGAGCGCAAGATGGCCTCCAAGATTGTCGAATATACGGGCTCAAGTGCCCTTCGGAAGCCTCCCGGGACCCCCCCAAACGGGCAAAACCTTACAAAAGCCATAGGGAAATCGATCTTGTTTGCCGTACCGCTTGTTCGACTTCAGTACGGCCCAATTAGCCCCAAGAGCGCTCCAAGAGCGGCCCAAAAGGGCCCCAAGGCGGCATGTTTGAGCCTCCGAAGGGAGCGATGGGAATTAAGACCCCCCACCTTTTGATCAATGCGGCCTCATACGGCCCCAAGAAGGCTCCCCCCCCCCCCCACCCCCCCCGAAGAGCCCCAAGAGAGCTCCGTGACCCCCGAAGAGAATCCCATGAGGGCCCCAAGAAGGCCCCAAGAGGACCCCAAGAGGACCGCAAGATGACCCCAGGAGAGCCCCAAGACGCCCCAAAGGAGCCCCAAGAGGGCTCCCAAAAGGCCCTAACAGAACCTCAAGAGAACCCCCCAGGGAGAGCTCCAGGAGGGCACCGAGCCCCAATATGGCTCCAAGTTCCGAAACGCACGCCAGCTTAAGATACACATCGGCGCAACAGCCATTACGAGTCATCGAAACGCCCCCCACCCCTCATCGAAGCATCATCGTAGTTTGCACGGATTCCCATCTCAAACTTCAATGCGGGAAGCTACGTGTGGTCCTTGTTTCCCCGAAGACGGCTGCACGACTGCATGCGTCCTGCCGCCCCTGATTCACCAACTCCCCTGCTGGTCGTTTCTGGATGAGCTGGTGGCGAAGCGTCTAAGAATTCTGTGTTAATCCGGGATTTGTCATGGCCCAATTTATAGGCAAGTTATGATCGTGTTCGTCTCGTGCTTGTTATTATTATTGTTCTTCCTGTACCAGCCTCTTGCTCAGGTTCATCTTGTGGATCGGTGATGTACTCCTGGTCGTTCGGCAATCGGACTACTAAGCGGGGGTGCCGGCCGGCCGAGGGACGGGCGGGCGCGCGCTCTATTCTCCTATAGCCAGCTCACAGCTGCGGAACTGTTGCTGTGCATGGCAAAGGGACACGAGGGAGGATGAGTGAATCAACTCCTGTCTTCTGCGTCGCTCACCGACAGCAGAACCAGCAGGCCACGACCTGGTGGTCCAGCCTTCAGCTCGGCATATCACATCGTCTGCGTACCCCTTCCACTCAGAACACAATATCGCGACTCATACTCTCTCGAGCCTACCCTCAACAGTGCATGATAGAGCCCCACCACGCACCTCCCTGGTGGCACCTGTGAGTCATGGCCCACACAGGGGGCAGGGCCCAGGAGGCATCGGCACGAGATGCCAACTTTTGGGATGGCATCGCCATACTCTTGGGACCGTTTCCCCATTCGCACCTTGGGCTAGTCTCCCCGACGTCAACCTTCTCGCCCAACCTTCCCCTCCCTCCTGGCCGCCGGCTCGCCAGCCTGGCCCGTCCACTACATGCCCCACTAACCTTCACCTGCCTGCATGTTTGGTGGATGGGAGGGGCACGCATTACTCTCGCTGCAGGTCGTCCTGGCTGGGGCCAGGCGGGGCAGCGGCCAACAGACACGCCGCCATTCAGCCACGCATCCTCTTGCACACCATCAGCCCACTCTTCTGTGCCTGCGCCGCCACACTGGTCGCTAGACGGCTTGAGGCCACCAGGCAGCCCTCCACCCCACCCTCGACCACTCCTGTCTCGCAACAAGCACTCAGCACTCCCTCAGTACACCTGTGCAGGCAGCCGCCACCTGGAGGGCTCGTGATGGGACCAGGCGGCTGTTCTTTGGAACGGGGGAGGGAACACGATCGCCAGGCCATGGCCCGGACTGCTGGGAGCCACTAGACAGCCCTCGACGCCACCTGCACACTCTCCTGCATCGCCATCCTTTTCCCCTACCTTTTGCCAGAACCGCCACCTGGAGGAGGATAGGTCCAGTCGAGGGGGGGCTGAACAGCAGGCCGCCGCCACAGGATGGCGTAAACCTCCCCGCCCCTGGTGAGCTGTGCGAATGGCTGCGGTCAGACAAACACCAAAGCCAACAGCTACAGCTACAACTACGAGGAGGCGGAGGACTTTTGCATGCGTGAAACAGGGGCGATGATGAGGTGGAGGGAGAGGAAGGAGGAGATCGAGGAGGCACCTGCGGATTATTACCTCTGCTCTCTCCCAAGCGGAAGCCGAGAAATATGAAGAAGCCGATGAAGATGAGGGGGCTCGAGGCAAGAACCTATACTGATCCAATGCTTTCCCAAACATCCGGCCCCCCAAAGTCTTGGCAACTTGCGTGACTGAGTCGTTGCTTGACGATGAGACCGAAATCGGCCACGAACTGGCCACTCCAATTTTGCTCGGAGCCTCGGATCTGTGGGTTGAGATCATTGGGTTTTTAGCTGGCCAAACATGGTGGTGTAATGTAAGATTACTGTTGCTAACATAATGATGGGGGCCCGTTTAACAACATAGTTTCCGAGCATTCGGTTTCCGATTCGCTTCGGCTCCTTCTGGCTCGTCGACTGTCCAAGCGCGCGCCCGAGGAGGGCGGGGGGGCAGCACGATTAAACAACTAGTTGCCCCGCCCGGTGCGGGTGTTGCTTATCGTCATACCAGGCGCCGCCGCGTGAACACGACCCCCGGCCATGTCTGGAACATCATCCTGAAGTATATACATCTAGGGGCCTCCTGAATGGGGTCCGAGCAAATGGGGTCGGAGGATCGCGCCGCATCGCCGATGTATTGCCTATGACTCGGCGATGCATCGGCGTCGGCGGCGGTGCATCGGCGACCTCAGCGCGAAGAAAATCGCGCTCCACATCGAGCTGCATCGGCGATACATCGGCGATGCGGCGTGGTCCTCCAACTCCATATGCTCGGACCCCATCTGTCGGCGGCGAGCGAGGTGGGGAAGTGAGAAGGAGAAGGCATTCTCAGAAGGCTCGGAAGTCCCCCGGCCTTCTGAGAAGTCTTCGAAGCCTTCCCCGAAGACACAACAACAACTCCTAAGAAGGCGCCCGAGGGCTTCTGAGAAGTCCCGCCGCCTTCTGAGAAGGCCTTCTCCTTCTCACTTCCCCCCTCGCTCGCCGACGAATCTGGGAGACCTAGAACATCGAGCCCCATCCGATGCTCCCCCCCTCACACCAGGACTCCGGGCGCCGCGACGGCGACGTCGGCGCAGGCCGCCCAGACCTGGGCGGTCTCCTCGCAGTCCCAGCGCCAGCCCAGCACGTAGTCGCCCGGGGGGAGGTCTGCGACGGGTGCTGCCAGAGGTGGGCCCAAGGTGAGCGACGAAAAGAGAGGGTCCACGCACGTGTTGCGTTGCATCTTCGGGGGACCTCGCCTGCCCCCAAAATTGATGTTCTTTCTCGTGCCCGACGCGGGCTCGATTCGAACTCAACGCAGATCTGGCGTGGATTCGACGCGGATTCGGCACGGCTTCGACACGGATCCGACGAGCCCGACATAGATTCGACACAGATTCGACGTGGATCGGGCCGCGACGGACAGCAGACAAGGTCCATCGAGGTTGCAACATAACAAATGATGGCACAGCGACCGGACGCCTCGGCTCACGCGGGCCGCCAGCGCGGCACGCCATGTACGTTGGAAACGAGGGCGCGACCCGACGCGGGCAGCCTGCGCGCGAATCTCCGCGCACCGCCTTTTTGAATCGCTCAGGGCTCAAATGTCCCCAGCGTTTCGCTTTACTTCGGAGCCTCCGGGGCCCTCTTGGGCCTCGTGGGCGGAGCTCTCGAGGCCTCTCGGGGCCTCCTCGGGGAGATCCTGGGGACGCCCCAGCAGGCAAGAGGCACACCTTTGGCAGCATCCGACTGCGGGGATCTCCACGCGATCCACGAGCACGCCACCAGTCCAGTCCCCAGAGCACAAGCCCTCCACGTCGCTCGCCCTGGCGGCAGGCTCGATGGGGTGCCAAGGCGGAGAACCTTCCTCGCAGACGGGCGGGAAGGCCCGACAGCCAGCTCCAACGGCACCGTCGCGGCACCTGGTGTCATCCGCTGGCTCGCCCGAGTCCGCGGGGCTGTCATCTATCCTTGGGATCGGGTTTCTTGCCCACATTGATCCTGGTGGATGAGTGCCCTCGGAAACATAGGTCCCCTTGTACCAAAGCTCCCTGCCATCGTTCCACCGAAGACTGGGCATGCCCGTGAAGTTGAGCGGCAACTGTTGGAAGCATGCCTCAGTCAGTTGCTCGCTCGCTGGACAGAGGCGATAACTGTAACCACCACCATGGTTGTAGCGAATACCCCAGACGACCTCCACTGTCGACCCTGCTGTCCACCTCGTTACACTTGTCGTAGGCTTCAGTACCTTGCTACCGAGATCGCCTTGTTTAGCAAATTTCGTTTCTGTAAATACAGCAGCATCAGGGAGCACTGGGTGTGGAGAACCACCGGCCATACCACATGCATCAGTGACTGGCGCAGTCCCTGGTGCGCGCCATGGGTTCCACATGTAGACATCATCAGCTGAGCCTGCAGCCGCGAGAACATTCATCGTGCGGAGCCTTGCGTCGTTCAGAGTAGCTTTGACGGTAGGATTGCTGCACAGGCTGCGATTTGTGTGCCCATGAAGACTAGTGCACGAGGGGCAACCAATTGAACAACCCTGGGAGAACCACAAGCATGCCTGCCCACCGCCAGCGGCACGCGCGCTTGCAGCAGTGCAACCGCCACTGGGGCTGGCACAATTGCACCCGTCGCTACGCTTGGGCCACGCCCCATTCGCGAATTCTGGCAGGCTTCGATCCACAGCATTGCGGCTTGGCGGATGGATGAGCATTCCATGCCCAACTACAGAAGTGATTGAATGCATGACCGGAATGCTTTTAAGCAACGAGGCTGGCATCATTGAACTATCCAACGGACGCTGCAAGATAGCACGCCCGCGACCTGGCTGTTGCTAACACATATGATAACATGAGCTATGCTGCTTTGAACCCAAATGGCTACTGAACTTTCGACAATATCCTTCCACGAAATTCGGGTTCCCCTGCCTTTGCGATCCCTACGGTTCGACTGTACTGCACTATATCAATCCTGGTTCCTCTTGGTTTGAGAAAATTGCGCGCATAGGCCTTCACAATGCGGGGTCACGGAAGATGGTGGGGACGTGCGAGATGGTAGCCCATCGTGGGTAAAGGGTGCCAGTAAGAATCCCCAAGTACAAAAGATTGGAAGCAATGGACTCGAGAAACTTGGCAACGAAACTCTGCGATCCTGCATATTCCAAGATGGTCCAAGAGGGCACAGCACCGTCTTGAAGCTCACCCTGAGAGACCCAAATTCATCCACGGTTGATCCAAACGGCCTTGACATTGTTCCAAGACGGCCTTGAGGCCCAGGGGAGCTCCCAGATGTCTCGGCTGTTGAATTGAAGGGCGCATAATGCGACTGCTCCTCCCCGTCATCCCCCTGCTCCCGCTGCCCCTCCTACCGCTGAATTTGAACCGGCAGACCATGACCCATCCCGGAAAGAAAGTAGCACATCGAAGGATGTACAGCAAAGACCATGGCGTAACAGCAAGCCAAGCAACATATCGAACAAGCACAAACAATAAAACAGGCTACCAAACAAGCGCATGCTATGGGTTCGTTGAGAAGTGTGTCAGCTGATATACAAGACACGTGGCTGACTAATTTGATAACGCATGTGCATGCAATGTACGCTATACATTGCATGCGTATACAGATTTTCATATACAAACACGAAAACTATGGAACACCTTGCTGCTAGGCTCCGACGACCATAACCGCAGGGGTGCCGCAATCAATTATGGAGGATATCCGACAGGCCGCAGTCTCTCTCCAAGAAGACCAGCGCATTCCACGACTCGCACAGTAACTACTCGCCAATTGACTACCTACCAGACCACCCCAACCCAACCCGAAGACCCGAATTTCGGGTTGGGGGGGGTAAGGGTTCCACATGTGTTTTTTCGACGTTCCCAGACCCCCCCCAACTGGAAATGGAGGGCAAATTGAGGCCTTCGGGTTGGGTTGGGGTGGTTTGGTGGGTGGCGACCAATGGCCTGAGTAGGCGCTTTGCGAGCAGTGGAACGAACCCGGTGACCAAGGGCGGCACGGCCAAAGCAAGCCAGGTAACACGCCACGGACTGAAAGGACACACGTGTACCATAATTTGCAGTATCGAGGACCTTCGACGACTCGACCCCAACCCTCTCGACGAGCTGGGCACCCCTGGAACGCCCTCGACGAAGCGCGCAATTGATTTGATGGACACCACCCTGGGCCTCGCAAGTGCTCGAAAACTTCCGGCAACTTTCGCAAAATCTAGCCCCCCTGAGCCTGTCCCCCCCCGATCGTTGCACCTGACTCCCTCCCGTCAGCGGTGCGGCGCTGGCCCCCGCTGCCACCCCTCTCCCCCGCGCGCTCGCGTGCGCGCGCGCTCGGGCGCGCGCAAAGGGGGGAGAGCCCAGAATCGAATCGAGAAGTCGGATCGGCGATCGATAAGAATCGGATCGGCGGAACTCGGCAGCCGAGTCGGGAAAAGTCGAACCGGCGGAAATCGGCAGGCTAGTAAGTAGGCCTCCTCCGTTGAGAAATCGGAGCCCGAATCGGAATCCAAAGTCGAATCGAACCGGAGTCTGAATCCATCGAAGTCGGATCGAAACGGAGGAATCGAAGCGAGCCCTGCAAAGGGGGGAAGGGAGGCCAAACCTCCAACGTACTCGAACAATTAGAGCGGAAATGCTTCGGCTCCAACCGGGCCCTCGATGCGTACGGGATGCCCAAAGGCCGTCGAAAAAACGGCCAGGGCATGAGCGGGCCGCGGGGAGAGGGTCGGGACTTCCGGGGGCCCAGTATGGCCCGGATGTGTAGTGAAGCAGCGAAGATATCGCGTTACATCCGTAGCCATATGCCCCCATGCAGGGGACAGATTGATCCGAGCTCTGCCATGACCCACCGATCTCTTCGGATAATGTCCCTCGCAAGAGCCTCGACACAAACTAAACCTCTCGGGGGGACTCAATGGGGCAGGGCCTTGCGAAGTGCCAGAGGAAGAGCGGAAGGAAAGGGGAAGGAGGAGGGAGGGGGCGGAGCGAGGGCGGGGGGGAGAAAGCGAGGAATGGAAAAGGAAGGAGGGGGGGGGAATGAGGAGGAGGGAGGGAGGCTGGGAGGGTGGGGGGGGCTCCTGAGGCCCGAGATGTAAGCGATGACGGTCGGACGCCCAGATCCTCGGTCGAGGACGATAGGCCCGGGCGGCGGGGAGGGCCCCCGCCTGCCTGAGAGGGGCGCTGGCGTCCACTCGCGGCGTTGCTGCAGCTGCGCCTGCAGGAGCCATGGCGGGCCAAGGGGGGAGGAAGGGAGAGGCGTGGATGGGACGGGAGCGCTGGCGTGACACGCTGGGCTCAGGATACGCTCCACGAGATCCAGACTATATGTTGGCCCTCGTTCCTGGAGCCCGTGCGGATCGACAAGAAATGTGGGGAGTCCTGAAATGCGGGAACTGCTGAAAGCGTGGTTAAAGTCGGAAAGTCGCAGTACAGTCAACCCATACCAGAATTACGCACGGTGCGGATGCAAGGGCCGTGGAGGCCCACGCGAACGTTGCCCGAACGAGGGTGTCGCTAGGGATGTGCCGAAAAGGGCAATGAAGCAAGGGTACCCTTGGGAAGATTGCATATCATCAACAATGCGGATTGACTGTAGCATGACTTCGTGTTCCTCTGAATGGAGGGGGTTCTGGGAGGGCTGGAGGGGGAATGCGGCGGCCGAGGAGAAGATGAGTGGAAGGAGACCACTCTTGCAGCAGAGGGAGGATAGGATGATGTCCCTCTCACTCCTCATCATCCTCCGCCGCGTCCGCCTGCCCCTCCTTCTCCACCTACCCCTCCTACACTCCTCAACATCCTCCCTCTCACCGTTCCTGCTGCTCCTCATCCTCTTCCTCTTCCTCTACTCAATCCACCCTCTTCCCCATCCATCCTCCCCTTCCTCCTACAACTCGTGTCCCTCCTCCTCCCCCTCCTCCTTCTCCTACACGTTCTCCTCCTCAGCATCAGCATCAGCATCATCATCAGCATCAACATCAGCATCAGCAACATCATCTTCAGCATCGTCAGCATCAGCGTCATCATCATCAGCATTATCAGCATCAGCAGCAGCATCATCATCACCATCATCATCATCATCATCATCATCATCATCATCATCATCACCATCATCATCATCGTCATCATCATCAGCGTCAGCAACACCATTATCATCATCAGCATCGACAACATCATCAGCATCAACATCAGCCTCCGCCTCGCCATCAGCATCATCACCATCAACATCATCAACATCAGTATCATCGGCATCATCGTTCAAACCAGTAATAGCCAACATCAGCACAATCGGCATCACTAGCATCATCAGCAACAACCTCATCATCATCACCGTCACCATCATCAGCACCAGTATCATCATCGTCATAGTCAGCGTCATCACCATCACCGTCATCATCAACATCATCATCAGCAGCATCAGCAACAGCAGCGGCATCATCAATAACCACATCCTCATCCACATCATCCTCATCCTTACCTCCGTAGTATCATACTCGTACTCCTCCTATTCCTCCTCTTCATCGTACTCATCATCACCATCATCATCATCGTCATCATTATCACCATTCTCATCATCATCATCATCATCATCATCATCATCATCATCATCATTATCATCAGCAACATCGTCATCGTCATCATCATGACCATCGTAGTCTCGTCATCATCATGTTCATCATAATGGTTTCATGGTCATCATCGTCAACATCAGCACCCGCACCCTCACCCCTTACCATCACCATCACCATTATTATCGTCATCACCATCGTCACCACCACAAGAATCACCATCGCCATCACCAAAGCTATTGCCATCATCACCATCACCATCACCATCACCATCACCATCGTCATCCTCAACAACATCAACATCATCACCATCATCGCCTCCCTTCCCGTCAACATGCTTCCGCACCTCCTCCTCCTCCTCCTCCGCGTCCTCCTCCTTTTCGTCCTCCTCCTCCTCATCCGCTTCCCACTCCCTCTTCGTCCCTTCGCCCTCCACACTCAACACAAGGATCTGTCGCCCTCGACCGCCTCGTTAACCCTCGCCCTCGCTCCGTCGCCCCAAGCATCCCTCCTCTCCTCCACCTCGTCCTCATCGTCCTCGTCGTCCTCGTCGTCGCAGTCCTCGTCCTCCTCGTCCTCCTCGGCTTTCTCCTCCTCCTCCTCCTCGTCCTCCTCGTCCTCCTCCTCCCTCCTCCTCCTCCTCCTCCCTCCTCCTCCTCCTCCTCCTCCTCCTCCTCATTATCCTCTCATCTCATCCTGGGTCGATCCGGCGAGATGATGGGGGAAATCCCCAAGAGTCCCCCATTCGGGCAACAAGACGGACCGAAGCGGGCTGCCAGGGCGAGGCGGGCGTCCGCATTAGAGAGTCTGGCCGATAATGCCTGCTCCGGGTCGTACTCGCCCAACCCCCCCGGCCCCCGTACAGCGGGAGCGGCGCGGCGCATAGATGTGCGCCGCACGATCCGAAATTGTAGAACACCCACCCCTACCACTCTGGAAATTCGTATTGCGATTATTGTCCGGGCGGCGGGATCGCCTGCACGAGCCGCAAGAATGCAACTCATCCAAAGGCCGCCTCTGCCCCTTGACGAGCGACAGCACGTGCATTCTGATGATAAGGCATTGCGCATCGCCGCCGTCGGCGTAAGAGAGATCCCTGCGAAATTGCGCCGCAGCCCTGCGGTGCCACAAGGGGCGTCTTCACCCCTGCTCAGATTCGGCGGTGTCCTTTTAGTTCAGGGCGCACTTCGCGCGGCACCTGCAGAGCCGCCTCGGAAAAAAACATTTCCCCAATCGCCGAAACAATCGTACGGCCACGCAAATTGGCTAGAACAACCTGCCAGGAAACCCGAACGACGTCCGTCGACAATCGCCACGTCTAGACAAATGAAACTTCCCGTGATCAACCCCTTTTAGACTGATGGGAATCAACCGTCCAAGTTTTTGAATTAAGTCGCGTTTCGTGCGTTTGGCTGGTGAACTGTGCGAAACTCAATCCGAGACCGATTTAAACGAAATCTCTGGGCCCCTTTACACAAAGTGTCTGGGCGGTTGTCTGGACGTGCCGGATTCCGTCGGGCGCCACCTAGTCAACCCGCCTGGGGAGGAGCCTAAGAGACAGCAGCGGATGGCAGCGCGACCAGCTGGAAGAGGAAGCGGCTCCCGACCCGAATACCCGAATACGGTGCAGGCGAAATCGATTGCCAGGCGGATGTTCGAGGCAACCCATGCTTCGAAGTCGCACGGGCTTGTGGCGATCCTCTTCGACTCGACGAAGGCGTTCGACAGGATCAAGCACGATGCTTCGATGCAGGCGTTGCTGAGATTCGGAATACCTGACCGCATGGTGGACATGATTGCCAACATCTTCCGCGAACGGAGTTTCATCCTCCAGGACCCAGCCGGGGACGCGAGCGTACGCCGCCAACGATCTGGCATCGTGCAAATTTGCCCGCTGTCGCCATATCTGCTCATCACCGTCCAGAAAATGATGATCTTCGACGTTAATCCGCGGATGGTGGGCGAACATCCGACCGTGCAGGAGCCGGACTTCATTCCGTGCGCTGACTTGCTCTGCGCGGACGACACGATGCTCGCCAGCAGCTGCGCGGCCAAGCTTACGGCCCTTCTCGATGCGGTCATCGATGGGGGGCAAAGGATACGTGCTAGAGTTTAATTGAAACAAAGACTGTCCTCATGATGATTCGCAATTGCAGATCTCTCCGAGACCCGCGTGGGGAGCCGTTGGCGGAGGTTTGTAAAGCGGTATATGTGGGTGGTGTTATCAACACAATTGCATTGCCTGCATTGCTAAGCCTGAAATCAAGAGCAAAAAAGGATAAGCTAGAGGGGTGTTCGCCGAGAAAGCTCGAACTCTATCGATCAATTGTGGTACCGAAGCTGTTGTACAACTTGAAACCTATTTGGGCTCTCAGGGCCGACAAAGACAGGTTGAATGCGTTCCACATGCGATGCCTTCGAAAGATCTGCCGCATCACATACGCGTACATTTCAAAAGTGCCGAACCGCAGCATGCTGGAGCAGACGGGAGAGCATGATCTGAGCGAGGACATTCTCGAGCGCCACAAGAAGCTCTACGACTCAATTGCTGCGCTTCAACACGATCACCCACTGCGCAAGAAAAGGTGCAATCCTAAGTCTGAGGCGCCCAGAGTTCGGGAATGAGAACCGCACGCGCGGGAGGCCCAAACAGCAAAGGGCACCCTGCGCCTACGCACTTCTGTCGTGGCAGTGACGCCAGGCCCCACATATGCTGCTATTGTTCGCTGTCCCTCCCTCCCCCTCCCTTCCCCTGCCTCTGTTCCGGCATCCCGTGGTCGTCTACCTCGCTTTCCCTCGCTCCGTCCTCCCTCCCCTTCGCCGATGTCGCTCCCGTTGTCGTTGTCGTCGTCATATGTGGCCACGCCGCGCGGGAAACTCAGCGGCCATTTGCGCAGCTCGCAGAGCAGCGTCCGCCACAATTGTAGAATCGTCTTCTGCGTGACAATCCGCAATTTCAAAGCAGCACAGCCGCCAATGTTCGGTGGCCCCTCCTCCCCCTCCCCTCCTCCCTTCCAGCATCACGTACCGTCTCCCTCGCTTTGACTCGCTCCGTCATCCCCGCCCGTTGTTCTCGCCGTTGTCGTTGTCGTCGTCGTATGTGGCCTCGCCGCGTAGGAAAACTCAGCGGCCAATTACACAGTACGCACAGTCCCACATCCGCCACGGATGTATCATCGTTGTTCTGCTAGACCTCCCGCGGTATCAAAGCAGCAGCACTGACGGCTGGGTCGCAGCCGATCGATGTTTCTCACCGCTCTGCCAGTTCACATCTGCACGGCATCTTCACTGCCGATGCGCTGTCGAGGCGCCTGGCTCCTTACATTACCTGTCCCACACAAGGGACAAATCAACCTGGCCCTCGGTTGCCTTCTGGCCAGCCATCGCGCGCGCCACCAACGCCTGGTCGTCGGATGCGCGGACGCGGCCAAGCAAAAGTTCGCATTGCATCCAAGCTCCGCCCATCCATGGCGGAGATCGGGCAAGCAGTGACGCAGACGCAATGAAAGCCACTCTCGCACGTGTCCGCCGAACTTCGACGGATCCACCGCGGGACGGACAACCAAGATCCCTACAGGGACCCCGCCCAGCGAAAATCTAGAGGGGCAGGGGTGGGGAACACAATATTCCTGATGAGACAGAGCCTGGGTCATGGCGGCGAACTCGCGGGCGGCGCCGGCGCATGGGCCGAAACTCATGTTGGCAACAGGGCGGACAGCTGGTCAGTGCATGCCGCGCGGCCTGCTGAGGACAGCGGTGGAGATGATCCTGGATCTGGCATGTAGGGCACCAGCCGCCAATCGCAGACGCAGGTCAAGATATGGGCGCCGAGGTCGACTGATCCGCGGCAGTTGTCACAAATGGCAACGCTTCTTGCCGCGGCCCGTTGCCAAGGATGTTCCTGGGATCGGCGCCGCCCCCAGTGCGCTGGCGCGTCCGACTTGGCATCGCGGCGTTCCGCGTGGAGGGCGGCGAATGTTCACCCGATGGTGCGAGCAGGAAGTGCACGAGAAAACTTCAGCGCATGGTCTTGGGAACGGGAAACCTTGCACGCGGCCTTGGGACTTTGATTGGTTGGGACCCCAGAAAATCAGTCAGCAAAAGGGACGGGGCCAAATCCATTCAAAATCGGATCCGGGACCCTCTCCCGCGGCCCGTCTGGTGGAGCTGTTCACCCCGGATTTGTTTCTGATGTCCTTAGGCCCGAAAGCGGCTCCAGGAGGCCGACACCGGCAAAACATTTTCCCGAGCCCATCACCTCGATCCTGCCCCCCCCGTCCTGCTGGCCGGAAGCCGTGCTAGGCCACCTCGAACCCCCAACCAACTCCAAGGGCACCTGCTATATCCCCTACTTTGTAAGGCGACCGTCCCGGCTGCGATTCTGGCGAGACGAAGGTTCACCACTCGTTAAAGATCACACTGTCGACTGGGATGCAGACGGAGAGAGAGAGAGAGAGAGAAAGAGAGAGAGAGCAACAACAAATGGTAGACGGCGGCCGTGTCGAACTGGCCCTTATTGAAAATATCGACGCGGATGGTCCGGTCAGCCGCGCTCTGCGGCTGGGCATCGGTTGCCGACGCGCCGCTGCGCCGTCGAGGCATGGGCGGGTGGAGACGCGCGCGGGCTCGCCCCACTCCCCTCCTGGAACAGCGGCGCCCCCGGTTGCAGCGGGCGCGATGGCATGAGCAGAGAGGTGGGCAGCTCGGCCCCGCTGGCTGGGCTGCTGACGAGGTCAGTTCGCGTGGCCTCTTCCTCCACGGCGCGGCCCACCGACGGGTAGGCGGCCCCGGGCGCTGGCGCCAGATCCTGGGTTGTGGCCGTCGTCGCCGCCGTCGGTCTAGCCGCAGCTGTCCTCGGCGGGTGCTGTCGGCGGGAAGGTGGTGGCGCTGGTCCGGGCTGGCGGCATCTGGGAGCTTCGGCCTGGTCGTCATAGCCATGGTCCGATTGGCGGCAGGGCGCTTAGAAGAGGATGTGCTTGGCTGATACGGCACGAACGGAGAGGAAACGCGCATGCAAGGTTGATGGCACCGTGACGAGACGATAAGTCCTCCTTTGTCACTTGCCTGTTGGAAAAGACGGAGCCCTCGAGGTCGCCGTGATGTGTTTTGATTGCCAAGGCTGTGTGCGTGTGTGCGTGTGTGTGTGTGTGTGCGTGTGTGCGTGTGTGCGTGTGTGTGTGTGTGTGTGTGCGTGCGTGCGTGCGTGCGTGCGTGCGTGCGTGCGTGCGTGCGTGCGTGCGTGCGTGCGTGCGTGCGTGCGTGTGTGCGTCAGTCGCAGTCGCGCTGCGTGTCGCGGTCGCGGGTGTTGTCGCCGCAGCCGCCGCTGCTATTCCTGCCGTGGGTTTGCTGGTATTCGTGACCCTGCCGGTTGTTGATGTTATGCGCGTCCCGATCATATCCCAGTTGGCCGGAATCGCACTGCGCGCCCCAGCCCCGGTAGCTGTTACGCAATGCGCGGCGGTTGCGGCGCGAACTGCTCTTCAGGGGGCGGGCCAAGACACTGACTGCACTGGCGATGTCCTGACCCGTAGGCGGTCTCGTATTCCGAGCGGCGCGCGACAAACGGCGCGCAGCAGCCGCGCCTGGGATTGTGCTGCCGCGATGCCGTAGGCCGCATGAAATAAACGAATACTGAGGAAAATGGGCCCTAGCCCCTGAGGCCTTCGCGCAGGGCCACTTGGTCATCGCAGACTCGTTTCCTGACAGGGGCGCGGCCCGTTGAAGGCCGCGCACAAACAGAAAATGTTTTGCCAGTTCTCCGTGATGAGGGGAGCCTTCGTAGCCCAACTGATTGGCAACATGTATTATTGCTATTCCCGTTGTTCTCCTTCTTGCTCCTCCTGCAACCGTCTCGTGTTCACGTTCAAGCGGGTGATTGCAGATGTACTTCTTGTAGCCATGGCGAGAAGTGTGATTATCATCCGTTAAGGTGCAACCGAAATCAGAATACGAAGAGGGAGGGTCGGCCGGCCGAGAGGCGTGTGGGCGCTCGCACTTCTTTCCTGATCGCAGCCAAGACAGCTGCGGGAATGCACATGCGAGTGTCTCTGGGGCTACGCAGGGGCGCGACTAAATCAACTCCCCCCGCGGCCTACCCGGCGAACTCCACTCGCGCGGGCGGGCGTCAAAGATTCGAGGGGAGAAATCCGCATTGTGCTGCTCCGCGTCGGTGCATGCACGCCGTGAGTAGGCGCCATCCGCGCGGCGCCGCGCGGCACCTGCTTCAACGCGCCAAGGGGCGCCCAGCCAAAAGTCTCTGGCTACGGGCGGTCTCTCGGCCGGCGCAGACATTGAAGAGGCAGCCCCCGCGCTGTAGGACGTGCCCCACTGGGTCGGGTTCGCAGCTCGGCGTCGCCTGGATTATTGCTTATCATCTGGCGTGCGACTGCTTGCCCTCTTGGCTCCCTTGCTGTCGTTCTCGCTCTCTTTGCCCTTGCCCTCGGCGTCGTCCGACATTCTCGTTGCCGCAGCGCGGTGTCAGGACTCGTGGAATTCGGCCTCGTTGCTCCCATGACAGTCTGCTCGCGAGAAGGGGCACCGGCCCCGACGTAGTCGGTAGGTGCCCGTGCCCTCGCTTCGCGTGCTTCTGGCATTGGAGCCCTCGGGAAATCCGCCCGTGACCAGTGATCCTCTATTTCCTTTTCCATGGCAGCTTTCAAGTGGCCGAGCAGTTCGACTTCCTTGCCACCCGGGGACGTCGCGCACGGCGCGGGCCATCCAACGCTGGGCTCATCGCAGAGGCGTTCAGATGGATGGTCATAGTCCCAGTCAAAGGGCTTTAAGATGGCATGGTTCCCAACTCAAAATCCCCTGCTGAGATGCGGCCCCCACACCCGTGGAGGAACTACCGAATCCTTCCCAGTTGCAGACGTCTTGAGGTGCGCGTTCTGGAACTTGATCTACCTGCGAGCCAACCTCCTTGTCCTCTCCAGCCTGTGAGGATTCTGCGGCACAGGTAGCTCGTCATGTGGGGGCGTGGGCAACCAGGCATTGTCATGATATTGCTGCGCAGCGCAATCTTTCCCTGCAGCGCATTTTCTCTGCGGGTGCATGCCCCGAGCGCCGGCGTCCTTCCACCTGCGCTGTGATCTCGCCTGCGCGCGGTCGGTGTCGGAGCCCGCCCACTTCCTCACCGACGGGTCAGTGGCATGGCCCTCTCGATCCCATGTGGCCAGACCGGTCTCACGGTAGTCAATGCTCGACCTGATTGTGTCGGGCTCGCTGGTAATAGCGCCGCGCTGCGCCGGTGCCCTACATGTAAGGCAAAGCAGTGTCCCCAACCGATTGCGGCAATCGCTGCTGCACAGGAAATAACCGTCGCCCCATCCATCATGTGCGCATAGCACAGCCTTTTTTTTTTCAGTAGAAGCGAGCACATCATGATCATCTTCGCCGGGCACCCGGAGCAAGGCTTGCTGCTGCCCACAAGCCGTGCATAAATTGTGGTAACCCTTGAGCGCAGCGCACCGACGGTCATAGACCAACGTCCACGATGCCCGAGCGCGCTGCAACCGCGACACAGTGAGACGCATGCATAATCGGACAGACATCTCTTCATTTGGGGAAGAAGCGGTCGCCAGCGAGCCGTCGCGTTGGGTCCACATGTCTTGGTTCTCGAAGATGCAGGGATCGAAAGAGAGGGCGTGCGACTCCGAGATCGGGCACGGATCATCCAGACCAAAAGCACTGGCATCCAAAGCCTGGCCAGCCACCGCTCGCGCCCATCCTGCAGGTATAAGCCACGTCGGCAGCGCCCCGTGCATCTCGCCGCACTCACCTTCCTGCGCTCTCTGGACCAGCCTGACCGCCCCATGAGATCCCCACTCTCCATCCCTAGCGACTGGGTCCGTCGGGGTACTATACGGTCTAAGCTGGGTAGGTAGACAGGTCAGAAAACGGCACTGCCGAACGCCCTCGAGGTCCATCTGCGGCGATGCGGAATGCCCGACCGTAGAACTTGTCATTGAGGCATCGTCAAATGGGATGACAATCGCCTGATGTGAGTAATCCATTACCTCGCTGCGGCGTCGCGCCTGCTGCACGTGCGCTTCGGGCCAACGACTCGTACCGAATGGCCCTTGCAGGAGCGGAGCATCAATGGCACCCTGGCCATGGGCACCATCGCGGGTGCGTTCCTGTCGACATAGGTGTCCTCAGTCGGTTTGCGCCCGACGCTATCGTCCCAATCTTCTGGCTCCGCAGTTGGGCCGTCTTCAGCGTTCGCCATGTTCACGCCAAGAAGCTGGGAAGCATTGCGAGGCCATTGATCGAGGGCGCGCGCGAAGCGCGCCCACACCTTGTCATCCCCCTTGTCATCCAACATCTTGACAATCACGGGCGCCTCGATCCACCCTCCTGAACTGCGGACATGGGCTGCACCGTGCGTCGCTCGATTAGCTATAAGCGAGCCAAGACGTCCAGCTTCATTCCACGCCCATGCCCGAATAGTTCAGAGGCCAGGTTGATCGGGGCGGGCGCGCAAAAAAACCGTCGCGCCTTTGCTCCGTCCTCAGCAGACAAGCGTCGCAGGAACTTATGCAGTGGATCACCCACTAGCTCACGCGCCCATTGTAGCGTCCGCTCCTGGAAGCCACTGCCTCTCTTCTCTCTATATGCGAAGGTCTCTGGGCTGGTCTCACGATGCTCTTCCAGCTGCCGTGCGAACCCAGAAGGGAGGGCACAAAATGCCCCGTCGTCGCCGCCCTCAATAAGCGGGGCACCGTATTCGTCCTTCTCCGCGTGATCAAGCCCGAGGTGAGCCATCTCCCCCATATCTTTCTCTCTTTGCTCGTGCTCAATTATCGGGAGTTGTACCTTCTTTGGCGGAGCCGGAACCCATCCGAGACAGACGCGCATCGACGTGAACGCGCGAGGAAGCTTGTCGGAGAGCACGTCGAGGGGAACCAGCTCAGGCCCTCGTCGAGGTATAACCTCGGCTTGATTTTCCGCGTCATCATCTGGTTTCCCTTCGGCATCATCCGACTTCCTGCCCCCCGTTTCCGCTAGGGCCAGGAGCATTGCCTGAGCCCGGCGCCTAACCTCGTCAGGCGGCGGAGGCGGAGGATCGCCCTCGTCGGATGCCCCCAGATCGACCAAGCTCGGGCCCTCTTGCACAGAGGGCCGCCCTCGTTTGGATTTCGTGCCCGAGGGTGTCTTGTCTCTGCGAAGGTGTCGAAGCCTCCGAGGGCAAGGGGGCGGGCGGGGAGACAGCGGCCGTGAGCCCCCTCCTTCGCGCTCGCGGCGGACGGCTGTCCCTTCTAGTTCTGAGCGGGTTCCAAATCAGCCGACATCGCCGTCGGGCTGTCGAAGTCTTCGCTCAGCTCCGCCGCCCCTTCATTCATCTCAGACTGACACCACCGCTCAAAGAGCATCTTCCCATGCGATAGAATCTTGGCGGGAGCATTGTGTCTATGGGCGTCGGCCTAATGCGAGTATGCACGCTGAAAAAGAATGCAAAGGTCAATCTGCAGAGCAGTATTGGGTTGGTCGAAGTAGTCGCATGACTCCACCGGCACCAACTCTGACACCATATGCACCTCCTTGTAAGACGCGCAATCACGCCCGACCCGGAGACATCAGAGCACTTGCTCCATTCTGGACATTGCCACCTTGACCATGCTCTGTCGTTTAATGGCTTCAAGTCGTCGGTCGGCGGAGGCCGATGGAATGGCGCTCCACCGCGCGGGTCATGCGGTTGCGTCGCCGGGGAAGAGGCCGGGTCCAGCTCCTTGGAGGGAATTTGCAGCCTCGCATCTGGAGAGTGCACTTCCTTGAGCCCCACCGATCCCGAATGTCCCCTATTCGAGGGTCGACGCTTTCTCCCAGGCGGCAGGGTCGCACGAAATCGCATGGTTCAAGCGTGAATACCTGAGGTGTCGTTTCGGATGACCTCGGCAACGCGCTGTCGAAATTCCTCGACAATCGTAGGCAGGGGGCAGATCACCCACATCGGGGGCGGCCGACGTCGTCGTCAGACGCCTCTATCCGCCTGTTGGCCTATATCGTCATCCTCCTGGCCGGCGGTTCGTGGGATCCGCGACCTGTGCGTCATGAAATCGCTAATCGAATGGTGCGCCCACCGTTTGTCGGCCTCCACGCCCGCTGGCAGATGCTCTCCATGTCGATATGCAACTTTCTGCCATGCCTGATCAAGCTGCACGTCGGGGGGACGCAGTGCCGTTCATAGAGCTGGTCCGTCTACAGCTCAATTCCCCAGTACTTCTCGCCGATCCAAGGTGTCCCGCTATCTTTGGCAAAAGTGCACAGGTGCACAACGAGCAGTCTCCTGTTGCCACAATAAAACATGGATTTGTTTCTTCTGCCGGGAACTGCAGAGACGCGACGGGCCGCGCGAATTGCCTGGCGGTTGTCGCTTCGCGCGGGGTCTTAACGCTCAATCCTCCAGGGGGCGACCTGGGTTGTTTCGCGCCATCCACGCCCTGTCTCCCCGACGGGGGCGACGGGGCCAGGGTCCGCAACGGCAGCGAAGTCGTTATCCAATCCCTCGCCGTTGGACACCTTGGGATGGTATAGTCACAATCCCTTGGCGCGCGTCTGCGGGGGCGCAGTGGCATAGAGACGAAGGGCAGTTTGCACCAAGTTTTGGGGGCGCGGGCAGCAATATTGCTCGTTCTTCTCCGAATCCGCGGCCTTCCAGCCCCCGAGCTCCGAGGGCGGGGCCAGAATCTGACAGTCGCGCGCGACTGCCAGCCAATCGCCAAACAGTACTGCCGCGATGGGTCCGCGGTATTCTCGACGATCCCTCGAAGGCACGCACTCCTTCCGTAGGCGTGATAGAGCTCTTGTAGTCCTTTGTCCGACAACCATCGCACCCCCTGGAGGCAGCGAGTACGCCCGCGTTGAGGGCCGCGCCAAGTCTGTTGATGCTGATGGCGTGCAAATCGAGCTTCCACGCCTCGTTTCTCTTCGAGCGCACAGTCGGTTGGAAGGTCAGACGGCAGCGCGACTATAGAATGCTCAGGCGGAACGTGGACCGCCAAACCGGCTACGTCGAAAAGGCCGCATAGCGTCCCCTGCGCGCCTCTGTCGGCCGCATGAACGTCGGGCAGAAAACCGTTCAAAAACCGATCGAGCGAGATAAGCATTGGTCGGCATGGGGCAATGTGCGCGGCGAGTGGTTGCAGCAAACTAAGCCTTGGAATCGGATTGCACGCCGTTCCGCAGGTACGTAACATCATCCTGCATCAATTCTCGGTCAAGCGATTTCAAGGTTGACGGATAGCAAGACAGCGACAGTTTGTGCTCATCTTGGCTGTCAGGAGTTTCCCTCTTCCTATCAAACGCTTTGCCGATCGTGTCAGACCCGATTATAAGCGGCCTGATTTTGACTGACTGGCCTCAAACGCATGAGGGCACACAATCACTCTGCCGCAGACCTCGCAGATTGGGTCAACCTCCTTGTCCCCGTCGGCGGTGCCTGGAAACGCCTCAGCAACATCGCGCGTAATTAGGTCGTCCGTGCTCCTGCCCTGTTCATACTCCGACGCAGCCAGGGTTGTCATTATCAAGTCGCAGTTGCTCGCGCATCTCAGCAGCCCCCCCCCCCCCCCCGTGGCACCCACGATCTCAAACATCATCCATTCCTCACAGCTTCTCGCCGCAGACCTGAGCAGTCACGCGAATTTGGGGCGGCGCGAGCCAGACATGAGAAGTTCGAATTACAATAGCCGCAGATATCCCAGCACCCATGACAAACTGCCTTCTCGCGCTGCCCAGACGAACCAGGACATCGGGATTCGGGAATCATGGCGCAACTTGGTTCGCAATTGGCGCGCTTGGCATTGATGCGCGCGCTGAATGCACTCCAACCAGATAAGTTTGACAAGTCGGACGCCCGAACGCGGCCTCGGGGCCCTGGGTCTGCCCCCTCTCGGCGCTCTTCTCGCGGGGGGATCGGGCCCGTGGTTCTGGCGCTGCGGGCGCCGAAGTCGACGGTCGACGGCTAGTCTGGGAAGGGCGAGGCGGGGACCTCGGCGCAAAGCTCCCCGCCCCCCCCCCCCCCCTGGAGCTGGCGCAGGGACGCGCCCGGGGGCGCCGTCGGATCTGCTCCGCTTGCCGAACGGTGGCGCCACAGTTAAGCGAAGCGTCTCGCGTCGTTGCCTGCTAGCTGCCCTGACAGGACCCCCCGCGGGTCGATCTTCAATGGTCTCTTCCAAGCACCGCTCCAACGAATCATCAGATGGCATCGCGGCTTCGACGCTATAAATTAGGGGCACCCGGGCAGGATGCCGACGGTCGTCCAACGGGACAGGGGGTCGAATGCCACAGGCCTCCCCCCCCTTCGCGTGGCTGGCGAGCATCGAGGCAAGCGATAGGCGTCGGCGTCGATCTGCGAGAGAAGTTCTGCTCCGACGAAATTAACTCCACGTCTTGCTCATCGCCAGAGAGATCGATGGGGACTTCGGGGTGATCAGCGATCGGAACAGGAACCTGACCACCGCCCTCGTACAAGTTGAGCTCCTTGTCACCCTTGGCCGTTGGAGTGTCTGGGCGAGGCTCGTAATCGACTGATCTGTTGTTCCAACTTATCTTAAGGGTGGGGGCGTCCACTCGGCCCTCCGACATAATCTGCTGAATGAGCTGCAAGAGCGTTTGCACTCAAGCCGTAACGTGTTTCTTCTTTCGGTCGCGCATCGTCCATGGCAGATTGAAGCATAGCTTCGTTTTCTGGTGACACCACCTTCATCGATGATAGATCTCTCGTCTGCTAGCCAGTATGTTGCCAGTTCTCCGTGAGGAGGGGATCTTTCGTAGGTCAACTGTTCGGCAACATGTGATATTGTTCATCATGGTGTGTTCCTTCTTGTTCCTCATGTAACAGTCTCTTACTCAGGCTCAAGTGGTGGACTAGAAAAGTATGTATTGCAGCCGTGGCGAGAAGTGTGATTCCATGTCGTTAAGCTGTAAGTGTAGTCGGGATACTAAAAGAGAGGGCCGGCCGGCCGAGGGACGGGCGGGCGTTCGCACATTTTTCTGATCGCAGCCAAGACAGCTGCGGGCATGTACACGTTAGTCCCTGAGGCGAAGCAAAGGTGTGACTAACTCAACACATGAATTGACAACAACTTGACGACCCGTTTCCCTCAGGACCCGGTCCCTCCATGGCGATGCACATTCGTGGGCGGGTCTCGGTACAACATCTTTGTGTTCGTGGCCGTGGACCTCGCCATAGCGGCGCTTGCCTCGGTCGCCGGCATTCCTGCCGGCCGCCATAGCGCGAGTGTGGGGTGCATCGCGTAGCAAGGGCGCCCACCAAGCGAAACAAATCTTGATACGCAAGCAAATCAACTAGCAACGCAAGTAAGAGCCTGGCATTACAAGCACCGCTTGGGAAACAATGGTTGACTCTCCCAGGAAACTTCCTTGACATGTACGCCACTACATCTTGTTCTTCCGGCTAGAAGGACGGCGATCGGCTTCTTGCCACAGCGGAGCTGCCGCCTAAATGGCATGCCCACGGCACGCCAGGCTTTCGAGGGCGGCGTTTCCCAGGGTTCACTCAGTCCTCCTCCTTCTCCTCCTCCTCCTCCTCCTCCTCCTCATCGTCGTGCCTTCGTCCTCCCTCCTCGTTGTCCTCCTCCCCGTCCTCCTCATCCTTCTCATTCTTCCTTCTCCTCTCCTCCTCCTTCTCCGCCTCCTCTTCCGCCTCGTCCGTCCTCGTGTCCCTCTCCCTCCCTCCTCCTCCTCCTCATCATCATCCCCCCTCCTCCTGCTCTTGCTCTCTCGTTCCTCCCCCGCCTGATCCCACCCTCCCTCCTTTGACTGCCCCCCCCCCTCCCAGCTCGTCCTCTGCAACGCATCCCACCGCCCGGCAAAAGAAGAGCTCAAAGGGCACCTCCTTTTCTGTGCAGCCCTCCGCGGCCCGGTGTCTGTGGGCGACGCAGGCGCACGAGCTCTCCGGGGCGCGCACGTGGAAGAATCACAAGCTGCACGAGCAGAGGCGGTCGGAGGCCCGAGCGAACTCTTTGGATCGACGCTGAGCGCCCCACGGCGGCGCCGTCGGCGCCGTGGCGCACTCCGCGTGCCAGGGATGGGAGGATCAGCGCCGATCGAAGAGTTCGCGCGGACCTCCGCAAGCGTATGCCCCGAACTGTGCTCGCACTCGGGCGTTCGCACTTGCGTTTTCAAGGACCGGGCTGGGTGCCCCGAGGACTCGCCACGTTCCGATCCAAGGGATGCGGGCGGACCTCCGATAGCTTCTGTGCATGCTGCTTGTTCCTTCTTCGGGCACGCTCTGTAGCAAGGCAGCCGCCGAAGCGGTCGCGTGCCGATTCCGACTCTGTAGGGCTGCCGCCTGCCGCCGGCGCCGCGATAGGCAGGGGGCCGGGCGAGCGGGGAGGCCTGCTGAGAAGGCAGGGGATCTGCGGAGGAACAGGCCCTTGCCCGGAGGCTGCCGAGAAGGCCTCATTGAAGGGGCAGGAAGGCCCACGGAGATCCGAGGCCTTCAGTCAACACGGGGATCCCTGGAAGACCCGACCCTTTCTTTTATCAGTAAGAACAGAACATGTTTAGTGCGTTTCTGCTTGCACGCACTACGGGCGCATGCCTCCCAAAAGCGTAAGCAAATTGTCCATGCTTACTCGGGCCCACCGAGCCAGCGGCCTCGTCCTCGCGAGGCTCTCCCAAGGACAGGAGATTCTGCAGCAGCATCGGCGGTCACTCGCACACGGGAGAGGGGGACAGAAGGGGGGGAAAACCCGAGCCCGTCTTGGGGGCCCCGCAGCGGTGCGGTGACGGACCGTGTGGTGGCATCGGGATCCCCAGAGACCTCACCGCACGGTCCTTCACCGCACCGTTCTGGGATCTCGGACGCTCCAGTCGACTTGACTGCCTGCCAGACCATCCCAACCCAACCCGTAGAGCCGAATTTCAATGTCAATGTGTTTTGTCAATGTTCCCCATCCCCCCACTGGAAACGGAGGGCAAATTGAGGCCTTCGGGTTGGGTTAGGGTGGTTTGATGGATGTTGACAGTCGCCCGAGACGTCCCCGTAGGACGACCCCATCCCGAAACCGTGCGGCCACTGCGAACCCCCGCTGACTCACTACCGCACCCTTTGGGAGACACCAAGGCATCACTGGGATGTCTCAAAGGTCCGCGCGGGTTTCTTGGATCGAAGCTGGACCCCCCTCACCGACGCGCGGAGCGCGCCAGTGGCGGCGCCAGAAGCGCCTCAAGGGGTACACAGCGCCGATCCACCAAATCCGCGCGGACCTCCAAGAAATTGTGCTCATGCAAAGTTCTGCGACAAGATTCCCCAGGGCCGGCTTCTCGTCAAGTGTCGTTTCTAGCCGTCTCTTAGATTGGGTCCGAGTAGATGGGGTCGGAGGACCGCGCCGCATCGCCGATCATCATCACCGATGCATCAACGATTCATCGGCGATACATCGCCGACGTGGGCGGTGCAGCAGCGACGCCAGCGCTGAGAACATGGGGCTCCACATCGAGACGCACCTGATAAGCAATAGAGGTACCCCTGACCCTTTGGGAAGAGACCGAAGTTTGGAGGGCCAAAAAACATTAGCGATAGGCGGTCTTCAGATGCACCGAACGAAAGCATGCACATGTTCAGGGTTAGGTCCAAAAACGGGGACCTGAATCAGGTCTCGAATTCGCTGCGTCATGAGGGCTAGGAGAGTAGTATGCTCAATGGGCATCGGCGGTGCATCGGCGATGCTGCGCGATCCTCCGCCCCCATCTGGGAGGCCCAGGGCCGCACGATGGCCGGTGCCGCGGGTGCGGCGCGGGCGCCGTGGGCGGCCCCCTCAAGGGAGCCCGGCCACGTGCACGAGTGGGCCCCCCACTGAGGGCGTCTGTCGCTAGACTCAGGCTAGCTCACCTGTTGGTTGCGAGGGGCTGAAGCTTGGCTAAGTTGGTGATGCGTGACTGAACTAAGTATTCAGTAAGTCCGCTAGCCACGTACTGAGCGCAAGGGCCATCTAAGTGGGACCGTCACCAAAACTACCACGAGGCCTCTGTCCTGGAGGCTCATGCCGGGCAACTTCACGTGCATGGCACTTCCCCGCCCCCCACATCCCTCCCCGACCTCTCCAGCGCCTTTTCACGCAACGTTGGGCCGAAAAGGTGTGCAAGTGAGTTCCGACTTGCGCGAACTTCAGAATTCTTTTCGGACTGCGCCGCGCCCCCCCGCGTCCTCCCCCCTCCACGCAAGCAAGCTCGCATTATCTAAGGAAACACAGAATCCTCACAATTCGATCTGGCTCGGAAACTGCCACAAAAAGACGGGTCTAGAGCTCAGGTCGGGACTTTTCGCGATGTTGCAATTCTTTCGCAACGGCGGATTTCAGGGCACACGAACATCCTACCCCTGCTCGCGAGGCCGCCCTCGTGTTGCGAGCGCCCGCGCATTGCGCTCCCTCGAAGCCCGTGTCATCAACGAAAGATAATGGGTCTCACGCACGGAGGAGGCATAAGTGGCAACCTTACGCCGCAGCTTACGCGGGCCGCCAGCCAGGCACACCGCGTGGAGAAGAGGGAGCTTGCGCGCGACCTTACGCGCGAATGGCGTCGCAATCGACCCCGTTTTCAACCGAAACCCATGTGAATCCATGGAGGCCCCAGAAACCGGGTCTGAGTAGTTGATGGGGCCGGAGGATCGCGCCGCGACGTCGGCGATACATCGGCACCGTCGTCATAGACAGCATCGAGTTCCACATGGAGCCGCATCGCAGATGCATCGGCGATGCGGCGCGATCCTCCGACCCCATCTTGGGCGATCGACGCTTCATCCACGCCGCTGCTCGCGCCCCGAGCCCGGGAAGGATCTTATGGCCTCCGGAGCCACGCTATCCATCCATTCCCTGCTCCCCTTGGCGCTCAGCGTCGGGGGCAGCCGCAGGGGCACGCATCGAGCCTCGGTCGTCGACATCTGCTCGGATCCCCCCCCCTCAGGGGAGGCCTGGCGCTCAGGCCGCGCGCGCGTCCCCGCCTCGCGCCCCGACCCCTCGTGCGATCCCTGCGCCGCGGCCCCTCACCGGCCCCGCTCCTCCCGGTCGAACTGCTCCTGGAGCTGCCGCGCCAGGGCCTCGTCCTGGTCCACCTGTGGCAAGTTGCATCTCTGGGGGACCTCGCCTGCCCCCAGATTGGTGTCATTTCTTGTGCCCGACGCGGGCTCGATGCGAACTTGACGTGGATTCGGCGTGGGTCCCACGCAGATTCGACGCGGATTCAGCATGGGCAAGGCCAGCGGAAAGGGCAGCCGTTCCCAGCGGTGGTGACACCCGCGGGGCTCTTTCAACCTTGAACGATCGGCCAATTCCGAAACGTCAGATCTTTCAACATCGACCAGCTCTGGGTCGCCGGCGGCGGCGGCGAGGCCGCCGCTGGTCGATATGACGACGCGAACCTTCCGAATCCGAACCTGCCCCTAGGGGGGGGAGGCGCCATGGGCGCGTCAGCTCCAGAGCTCGGTAGCTGCAGAGCTGCAGAGCTGCAGAGCTCAGTGCCCAGGGCGGAGGGCTGCGCCCACGCCCGAGATAAAAACAAGGCTCGCTCGCGCGACGCCGCGAAGATGCCCGCACGGGCAGGGCAGGCTGGCACGCGTCGGGAAACAGGGACTGCGAGCAGGGAGGCCACAAGGTGCCGATACCGATAGACAAAAAAACCCAAACCCTTTGGGAGTGGACCTAAGTTCGAAGGGCCATGAACATTAAGGATCGGGGGCCTTTTCTGCTGTGTATCAAACCAAACCGCCCAGAATCAGTATCCCTACTGCGAGGACGGGGACCTCAGTGAGGCTACGTCTTCATCGTGTTATGAGGGTTAGGGGTTCTTGTATTCTCCATGGTCCATGAAATACCGCTGCTCCTGTTTCTTCGAGACCTGGTCCGCCTGTGGCCTCGCCGCGCCCGGCGCGCCCGCGCCCGCCGGCGACGGCGCCGGCGGGCCGGCCAGCAGGCGGCTGACGGGCCTGGGCTCGACGGGCGCGCCGCTGCCCAACACGTGCCCGCTGCCGGAGAAGGGGACGGCGTCGGTGGCCCTGGCGCGCGGGACCCCGAATCTCTGGTGGTCAAGCTTCGGGCTGCGTGCAAACTCGACAAGCGCGTTCCGCGACTCGCAGGGTAGGTACTGACCGCAATTACTCGCAACTGGCTTGAATCAGCCGCGGGGGATGTACGCACCATTGGATGGATAAAAACTTGTTTGCTCGGACATTTGAGAGTCGGCACTTTGCGAGTAGTGGAACGCAATCGGTGACCGACCTCCCCCCTACGGCAGTTCCAGCTGGCCTCAGCAGAGCCCCCTGAGTGACCCCCAGCTGGCCTCAACAACCCCCCCGAAAAGTCCGGGGTGGTCTTAACACTCTGGCGCCGCCGGGGGCGGCATCCCTGTGGCACCCGAAGTCTTACCGATCTCCGACGGTATGACGTTTCCAATGCCGGCGTTGTTTCCTCAATTTCGGCCCTCGATCGGGGGCCGATCTCACGCCCCAAAACCCCTGGCAAGATCCAGGCAATAACGGATCCGGGCAAGCAACAATCCTCATAAACGCATCTGGGCAAGAAACATTACCCCTGGGATGACTGTCGGGACCTCTGTGGCCGCGGAAAAAAAATAAGACAAAAACAAACAACAACAATAAAAAACGGCAGGTGTCAGGGAGTGGGCATCGCCGGGGCCGCCCCCATCTTTGGCGGGTGAGGCCGTCTCAGAGCCACCAGCCTGCCCCCTCGAGGTGGGGAGGGAGGTGGCGAAACCCTCCAGGGGCTGGACAGCGGGCACATGCTTTCCAAATGCCGCTGAGATTTGTTTCTGAAGAGGCCTGCCGCATCGGGGCGAGAGTCGGCCACATAGGAGGCCCGCTGAGGGACGAAACTCTCGCCGTGAGCAGGCTCGCCTGCTATGTGTCCTTCTCTTCCTCCACATCCTCATCCCGCCCATACGTTTGTCTCCTCCCCCACGCATTTCAAGCCAATCTGGACCTGGACTGATGACAATAGTCAACAGGGCGCTTGCAGGCGTTGGTACCAGCTGGAGTGAGCTTGACAATCGACGGCAAAGCTCAGTCTGGCCTTGCTACCAGCAAGAACAATCGTCAGCGTGCCCGACATCATGAAGCTCGCAAATGCTGTACTGGATCATCTCCTGCATTGGTGGGCACGCGCCAAAATCATCCGGCCCAGCTGCCCGCGCCTACAGCTGGGAAATGGCAGCGACAGAGCCGGCCGCCGAGGGACGGGCACGGCCTGCGCAATCAACACCCACACTGGGGACGCAGGTTATGAAACAATCCGGGAGGCCTCGCGCGACAACTTGATACCCAATGTACGTCGGATTCACGTCGGATCACGTCGGATGCACGCCGGACTTATGCCAAATCATCGCCGCGCGAACGTCCACCCAAATCTTACGGAGCGGACGTGCGGCCTAGATAATTCAGCTATTGCGCGCCGCGCGAGGCCTCCAGGGTTCCCCACATAACGCAGGGCCCAACAACTCACAGCCGTCACTTCTGGTGATGGGGACAGCAGGTACCCAGGGCTCATGCGAGTGGGCATCGGGCTAGCAGCGAGATCGGACGTCTATTCAGCTAACATTGGCATCACCGTTTCAGGGCCTTTGACCGGCCGAGTGCAGTCTGTTCCTCGGGGGAAGCTCCGAGCCCGCGAACGGGCTGCCAGAGGTTCGATCGGCCCAACCATCTCCGTCACAGACAACGAGTACGTCTGCAAAGGCTGGTACCATCAACAGTACCGCACGTGTGCAGGCGAGCTGGGCGCCTTGTCGAGCAAGATCAGCGCTCACTCTCAGGAGCGAGACCCAGCAGAATGTTGTCTCGCAAATTCCTTCGCATCTTTCCACCGAGACTGCAGCGCAGAAAAGGATTGAAATTGGATCCGCAGAGCGGCATCGAGTCGATCTACTCACACGTTCTCAGATATTCGATTGTGAACGCAAGGCAGGCCTCATTCGGAGAAGACTTCTGAGAGCGTCCCTCGAGTCAGCAGCCGCTGGGAGAGCCGCCTGGCGTGTTGCCAGAATTTCGGTTGCCACCGGTGTTGTTGGTGAGGCTCCTGCGTCTCCGCCTCCCACTCCCCCTCCGCCTAATGCCTTAGTCGCTGCACGTTTGAGCAAGTCCCATTCTCTCAGTGAATGCGGGCTCCAATGCACCCGTTGCCATAGTAGCGCAACCCTTACCACTGTGTCCGAGTGGCTAGGCACTCCCTGCTTCGATTTCGTTATTGCCGATCTGGTCGTCTCACATATGCCTAAGGGCGTCAGGCTGCACTTGGCCGGGGGGGGGTCTCTGGTTCTATGGGAGGTGCGGTCTCTGTTGCTCGCACAATCTTCGGAATGATCTCAACGGGATGTGCCACAAGCCCCTGAACGATACCAGGAGAGCCAACCTGGATCGTGCCACGCGAGGGCTTACTCCTGAGGGTGCGGAGTGCCGCCGAGAAGGCCGCACGCTCTCGGCAATCATGATTCATATGATACCGTCATGCTGCTATTCCTGTTCCCATTCCCCCTCGTGCTCCTCCTCCCCGCCTCCCCCCTCCGTTTGTGCCCGACCCGGCGGGGGAGGGCGGCGAGAGAGGGGGCGCGGAGGCGGCTCCTGCCGGCCCGCGGGGCGGCGGGCTCCTCCGCTCCGCCGAAGGTCCGCGACACGGACGCGGACAGCGAGGACCTGGCGGGGGGGGGGGGCGCTGCTGCCAAAGGTATCCCCCGCGTGTCGCTCCATGTTGGAGCCCCTAGAAGGGGCGCTCTGGGCCTCGCGGGGGGTGCTCTGGAGGCCATCTGGCTCCCCGCCCCCCCCCCCTTCCCCGAAAATCCTGGGGGCATCTGTGGCCAGGGGCATTTCTAGCAACACCCGATCCGGGGAAAGCAACCCTGACCTTCCAGGAGGGCTAAAAAATAACACCAGGACCTTGATACCCGAATTCCGGACGAGGTCTTGAGCAGTCTAGATCGGTCTGGAAGTCGGGAGGGCTACTTTGTAGCACTCCAGAAGGTCAGGGGAAGAGGTGCCGATGCCGCGGGGGCAAGACGGTAGCGACGCCCAAGCTCGAGCGTTGTTTCGTCGGTTCTCTGCGGCCATCCGGCCCAGCAGCTGCGCCTCGCCGAGAGGCGTTCCCGGGGTTGCCCCGAACGGCCGCTCGAGGCCCGAGATATGACCTGAAAGGTAGACGATGAGAACATCTGAGGGGGCAAGCCTTCTCAGAAGGCGGCGGAACTTTTCCAAGGCCTCGCGCTTCTGAGAAGACGTGTGTATCTTCGGATCAGGCTTAGAAGGCTTATCAGCAGGCAGGAGGCCTCCAGGGCCTTCAAAAAGCCCCGCTCCCTCTGCCTTCCACCCTGAGCGCACCGCCGATGCACTCACTGGACCTCTCCAAGGGCGCGCTCTGACCAGGAATTCGTGCCGCTGCGACGAAGGGATTAAATTCGAGCGGTACGCATCCGTATCTTTGACCCGCAGTCGACGATGCATCGCCGATGGATCGGCGATAGGCCCCAAACTGAGAATACGCTCGTCCCTGCGCGGGGCGGGTCATCGGGCCCCGTCATTACCTGCGATGAATGGGCGATGGGGTTGCCCCTCTTCGCCCAGGAGCTCCCCCCTAACGGTACCCCCGACCCCTGGACCTCTCCAAGGGCGCGACGAGGGAGTTCGTGGAGGCCTCTCACATGGGGTCCGAGCACATGGGGTCGGATGATCGCGCCGCATCGCCACTGCATCGCCGATGCATCGGCGACGTCGGCGACGCGTCGGCGCCAGTGGCGTGGAGAAAATCAAGCTCCACAGCGAGCCGCATCGCCGTTGCGTCGGCGATGCGGCGCGATCCATCCACCCCATTTACTTTGACCCCACGTGGAAGGCCTGGAGATCGAGCAGCATCGGTACCCAGAGATCCATTGTCTTGATTTGTTCAATACGGGGTCCCCGGACGGGGTCCCCAGAAGTCCCGACCCCTTCCCCAGGACCGGTATTGCATCCCGAATCTTTGTACTGCTGGTCCCCAGGCCCGCCGAGGGCCCCATGAGGCCGAACAACTGCGAAAAACATCGTTCGTGACATTTGTCAATGCGTGGGCGGTCTGGGCACCCGCTCTGGAAGAAACAGAAAAGAAACTATACAGACACACACACACACACACTCGCGCACACACACACACACACATGCACGCACGCACGCACGCACGCACGCACGCACACACGCACGCACACACACACACACACACCCTCGCACGCACACACACACACACACACACACACACACACACACAACACACACACTCTCGCACGCAACACACACACACACACACCGCACACGCACGCACACACACACACACACACACACACACACACACACACGCACGCACGCACACACACACACACACACACACGCACACACACACACACTGCATAAACAGAACCTTTTCGGAGGTCCGCACTGACTTCTTGGATCGGCGCTGGGTCTCCCCTCCCTTGCGCGCGGAGCGCGCCAGGGGCTGCGCCGGAGGCGCCGCCAGGGTGGACCTCCGACAGTTTCTAGTCATTTCTGCTTCGATGCTCCCCCTTGTGAGGACCAGCCCCTGCTCAGGGTCTCCCCCGTGGCGCTCGCGGCGCGGCCCAGGGTCTCGCCGGCGGCCGCCGCGGCCTCCCCAACCTGAGGAGGGCGCCAACCCCAGGGCCCCCTTCAGAGGGCTCGAAGGTCGGGTGTCGGAGTTGTTGGGCGGTCTTCTCGGGCGATGGTGAGTGGAGGGGCAATCAAAGGGGGGGAAGAAGCGCGCACCCGTCATTCACCCTTTGGACCCCAGGCGCCCCCTTTAGAGCACCGAAGGTGCACGAAAGATGCACCTTTCTTCACCCCCCCGTTGCATCACCCAGCCATTACGCAACGCCCGAGCGTTTGGCTCTTCTGGGGCCTCCGAGAAGCTTCTCGTCGCCACGACTGGTTTCCCCGCAGAGCTCTGACCAGAAGCGAGCCCAGGACAGGTCTGGGAATCGACTTCCAACCCCCAACCCTTGACCCCCGCGCGTCGTGAAGAGTGGACTGCGGAACGTTTCGGCTATTCTCAGCCTCGGGGGCCACTGTCGGGCCCGGGCCTGTCAAAGTATGACTCGTAATGGAGAGCCTGCCCCGGGAAAGGCGTCGAGATCTCCAGGGGCCCACGTGAGAAATTTCCCTGGCGACATACCCAACCCCTGCGCAATGCGGGGTATGATTAGCTTGGGAGACTTTATACGGGGTGATGACCTGGCATGGAAGGATATACTTCTGCAAACGGCATTCGTAAGGCTCGCGGGTCCCCGACTAAGGGATGAGGGCTTGGTGAAAAGCATTAACAAGTTGAACCCCTGAGTCGTTGGGGAAAGGGCAGCCCCCAGGAACGGCGAGGTCAAATTTGATTCTGCGGCAAGTGCACATGATGCTGGCCTCCGCAGCAGCCCTCGAAAGTGGCGACAGTTTCACACATCGCAACCCCACAGAAATGGAGAGGTCTACTTTGGATCCGCGGCGAGTGCCCACTCTGCAGGCCTCCCCAACAACCTTCGAAAGTGCCGACAATTTCGTGGATCTCAGCCCCCCCCCAGGGATGGCGAGGTCTAATTCTGATCCGCGGTGAGCACCCACTCTGCTGGCCTCCCCAGCAGCCCTCGAAAGTGGCGACGGTCTCGCAGATCGCAGCACCCCCCCAAGGATGGCGAGGTCGAATTCTGATGCGCGGTGAGTGCCCACTCTGCTGCCATCCACAGCAGCCCTCGAAAGTGGCGGCAGTCTCGCAGAGCGCCCCCCCCCAAGGGATGGCGAGGTCTAATTCTGATCCGCGGTGAGTACCCACTCTGCTGGCCTCCCTAGCAACCCTCGAAAGTGGCGACATGTTCGCAGATCGCAGCCCCCCAGAGATGGCGAGGTCCCGCTCAGATCTGCGCGGTGCCTCACTCCGCTGGACTCGCCGCTGGGCCCACCAGATGCCCTCGAAAGTGGCGGCAGTTTCGCAGATCGCAGCCCCTTATCGACGGCGAAGAGAGGCCAGGAGCAGGGAGGCGGGAGGAAGGACGCGAATGCAGTGCTCTAGTCAAAACGAATACCCAACCGAGGAGGGTTGGGAAAAATCACGACGTCGGAGGTCGGAGCCCAGAGACACACACACACACACACACACACACTCACGCACACACGCACAACGATCCCAGTCGAGCCCATCCTGGGCCCAGGATCGGCGCATGCTCTGCGTATACCGTATACGCCCTCATGGCTTGGCCATAAGGCGCGCACACGCACGCACACACACACACACACTGGCCTCGGCAAGGTCAGGCCAGATGCAGGTGTGATATCATATGCCTGCGCCGATCCTGCAAAGGCCCCTGGGCACAGGATGGGCGCATGCAGTCAAAGTGTGGGCAAGGATCCCCACTCACTACACGCTCCGCTCCCACGCGCGCGACCTTGAACGCGGGGCAGCGTGAAATGAGGAGCACGGCCCCGTTCTGGGCCTCGGATGCACGCCAAAGGAACGAAGACGGGAAGGCCCCAGGAATCCCGCGCCCCGGGGGGCCTAGGGCCGCGCGAGGGCCCCCCGTGGCTGAGCATAGCGAAAAAACCTTGGGCCGTAACTGCTTTCGCGGGTATCAGGGCAATATCAACCTGCGGGCCCCAAGAATAAACACCACCACCACGCCGATTCCTCCTCCCTCCTCTACCCTCCTATTCCGTTCCTCTTTCCTGGGAGAGGGAGGGAGTGAGTGAGGCGGTGGTGGTGTATATGTTTGGGCCCCATACAATCAACATCGAGTCGGGACATCGGATTGAAACGGAACGCGCGTCGGATCGGGCCGCATCGTCACGGAACCGGAATCGGACCAGATCGGCTGCACTCCGATGCGCAACATCGGCGCGCAAACACCGGGACGCATCGGATCGTCGGAGCATCGGGATCGAAGCGGATCGTGCTGGCCAACATCGGTGATCGGACAGAGATGGACCGTGCGAGGCGGGCACGCGGTTGACGCCATGCCCTGACTTCGGGACAGTGAGACTCCCCAGAAACCCCGACCCTTCCCCGGGACCGGCTTTCCGCCCCGAATCGTTCCTGGCCACTCTTGGGGCCGAGCGAGGGCACCCCGGGGCCGAAACAACAGAAAACCTTCCGCCGTGACTGTTCTGCGGATCGGGGAGCGGGCGGGCGGTTCACGCCTCGCCCTGGGGAAACCTGAGGGTACCAATGCCACTGCTCCCCAGACGTCTCCAGGTGTTCGTTCTGACTGGGAGTTCGAGGCGAGTCAGGCCCAAACAGGACCGGGGTGGCTGTATCGGTACCGTTTCGGGCGTTGCGCAATGGGGGGGCGATGAATGGAGGGGGGGGGGGCGGGGAGCGCGCACCTTTCGTGAACCTGTCGTCGCCTCCCGATTTGTCGGCCCCCCATTACGCAACGCCCGACCAATGCGCGATGATCGCGGTTCCATTTTCGGGGAGAGAAATTCCGTTCAAAGGTTGCCGACCGTCTTGGGCCGCCAAGAGGCTCCTCGACGCCACGGGTGGACTCCCGGCGGACGTCTGGCCAGAGCGTCCTCCAGGAAAGGCCCCGACGTCGACAATCGGGGGAACACCAACCCGGGTCAACGCAAACCCGGGTCAGCCACGAGCTACGCAACGCCCGAAGCCTTTCCTCCTCTGACCCTCCGAGCGGTGCCTTGCTGGCCGCCGAGGGCTCGTCGCCCGGGCCCTGCGCGGGGGGCGCGCCCGCCCGCGAGGCCGAACCGCCCAGCGGCGTGGCCGCGTCGTCTGCGGAGCCGAGGCGTCCGCCGCCCCAGTTGGCCTTCTGGGTGGAGCGCCTGGCGCTCTCCGCCTTGCACCTACGGGGCCGCCGTTCCTGGCGGTCCTGGCCTTGCACATTCTGTGTCACTTCGGGCGATGCCTCGCCCGACTTCGGGCCCTGGGGCCGTCGCGAATCGATCGGGCTCCACACATGCGGCACGAAGATGGGAATCAGGGCAATCATGAACGAAAAACGGTAGCTAAGTATCATCTCGGGGTGTCTTAAAGGCCTGGTTGGGACCTCTTTGGGGCCTCTTGGGGCGCCCTGGGAGCGAAGGCTGGAATTGTCGGTTGGTGTTATCCCTCTTGGGCGGTGCCGTCTTGGGGCCCTATCGGAGCAAACTTGTGGTGTTTTTTTTTGAGTCTCGCGGGCCGTTTTGGAGCATCGGAAGCTCGGAGAGGGGATACAACTAAAACATTGAAAATCCGAGACAACATGTATGTGTTTGGTTCCTCGGGACCCTCTTGGGAAGATCGTCTTGAAGCTATATCGGTGTGTCTTGGAGCGCTCGAGACCATCCTGTGTGCTCTTGGAGCGCTCTCGAGCGTTTTGTGGACCTCCAGGAGTCCTCCGATGTATTCAGGTGACCGAGATCTCCGTCATAAGTACGCATGTCTTCATGTATATATATATATATATGTATGGAAATGTGCACGCATCCCAGATAAGTCGGCCGAGGGTCTATGTCAAGGTTCGCCATATATCGCCTGGCGAGCCGGATGGTGGCGCGCGGCCTTATGGGAAGGTTGGAGGGCTTCTCAGAAGGCAGGTAACTTCTCGGGGAAAGGCCTGGCGGCTTACGAAAGGCCTCTCAGAAACTGGCGCCATATAAGCTGGTCGGGATCCTGAGAAACTCCCTTCTCCTCACGGACCAGATAACAGCATGAGTACCAGCTTTCGTAGGCCCTCTTGGGTTGCTCAAGTCGGCGCTGAGCCCCCCTCCCTAAAACGCCTTTCCGGCGCGCTTGGGCGCGCCAGCGACGGCGCTGGAGGCGTCGCGAGGGATGTGGGTAGGGGCCCAGCGTCAACCCAAGAAATCCGCCCACCGTCAACCCAAGAAATGTTAATGAAAATGAGAAGGGTGTCATGCGAGTGGCTCAGAATGCTTCCCAAGAGTTCCAGGGCGTCTTCCGGTCATCGTCTGTAGATTTTTGAGGCGCCCCAGTTCTCGCATAAGTGTGCGCAACCATGAACGCCAACAATTGCAACGCTATCAATGCCAACAATTGCCAAGCAAAAAAACAGAAACTACCAGCAACGCGAACGTTTCTGAAGGCGCCCGCGTATCTCTCCGAGACTTTCAAAGGCCATCGAAGGCCATGGAGGGGGAGAAGGGGAGACGGAAGAGTACGAAGAGGAGGAGGAAGACGAGGAGGAGGGCGGGGGGAGGGACGACGAGGACGAGAATGAGAAGGACGGGGAGGAAGAGGAGAAGTAGGAAGGGGAGAGGGGGGGAGGGAGAAGGGGTGGACGAGGAAGAACAGGGGGGCGAAGACGAGGGCGAGGACGAGGGAAAGGACGAGGGGGAGAACGAAGACGAGGGCGAGGACGAGGACGAGGGCGACGACGACGACGACGACGGAGGCCGCGGCGGCGGCGGTGGCGCTGACCCGCGGAAGGGCGACCCCGACCCCCCCGCACCTGTCGCAGACGTCGTCGGCGCAGGACTCCACGGCGTCGCAGGCCGCGTCGCTGGCCGCGGCCCCGGCCCTGGACCCGACGACGGCGCCGGCCAGGGCACCGCCGATGGCGCCCACCGGCCCCAGCAAGCTCCCTACGAGCACGGAGCCGCCGACGGACCAGCGGGCGAAGGACGGCACTGCCCAGACCTCCGAAGTCTACCTCGTTTATTGTCGTCGTTTTCGTCGTAGGTCCATCGTCGTTTATCGTTGTTTAGCGTCGTCGTCTTCGAAGCATCCAAAACGAAGCGTTTTCGGTTCCTGGGGGCCCGATAACAGGGCCTCGGCACGGTCGCAAAACGACCTGGGCTGAGAAGCCAGCCCTGGGAAAGCGTCGAGGCTTCTGGGAACCCAGTTTGGGAAACAAACAAGACATCACATGTCTTGGGTACGAGATAGGGAGGAGGAGGTGGAGGAGGAGAAGTAGGAGGAGAAGGAGGAGGAAGGAGAGAAGGTGGAAAACATCATAATATCGCATGTCCTCGTCCGCCAACTGGGGACGCCTGTCGCGGGACGGCTGGCAAGCTCACACCGCTGCGGTGGCGCGCTGGGGGGGGGGGAAACTTCCCAGCCGCCCTGGGGCAAGCACCCCCGATGGCGGAAACATGTGCCACGCGCGCCATAGTTTTTGCACGAGCAAGGAGGCAGCAGGCGCGGCGCGATGGAGCCACCTTTGGCCATCCTGGGGGCTTCCTGGGGCCTTCTTCGGGCCATCATGGGAAAAAGTGTGTGGGGGGCCAAGGAGACCACGCACGGACATACGAACGACGACGATGAAGGGCGAAAAGGCAAGGCCTCGAGCTGGAGCTGGAGAGCCCAACTCTGCAAAAAAAACACAGGGTTCCTGGCTGGGGGGGCCAGAGAGGAGGGCTGTCGGCCAAGTCGTGCACGATCCGCGAGTGAGCCATCCTTACGCCGGGCATGTCCTCCCACAGGCGGATTTTGCCAACAAAAAACAAAAGTAGCCAAACAAAAATACACGAAAAATCGTCACCATACTATTTTTCACTATTCTGGTAGCGGGACACGTCCGACTTTTAAAGCCAGCCCCCGCACGTGAGGCCTCGGACCCTCGGCCCATGAGGGCGAGGGCGACGAAGAGGGTCCGTGCCAGGGGAGGAACCAGGGGCCGGAAATCTCGTGCCCGTGGTGGGCAACGGGAGGGGCCCATGAGGGAGGACGAGCCGCGAAAGGAGAGAGGGGAGAATGAGGTGCGCACGCAGGACGACGAGCCACGAACCACGAACCACGAAAACAGGTGGCACGCGTGCCCCGGCGCTTGCGCGAGGGAGTGGCGAGGGTCAGGAGGACCTGGGGGGGGGCAGTGGGACAACGAATAACGGGCTCGGTCAGGGACGAGGCCCAGGGAAGACAGGGGAGGGTCTGGGGGAAGGGGGGGAGAACCACGAGACACGAACCACGAAGGATTCCGAGCTACCCGCCGAAGAGGCCACGGTATGGCCTCAAGAGGACAAGGGTCGAACGACAAACCACGGAACCATGAAGGGTGTCCTCGCCGTGTGAGGGTGCTGGCCACTCCGGCCGGTCTGGAGGGGACAGACGGGGCCCAGACTGCCTCCGATGGCTCTCACTGCCCCCAACCGCTCCCAGAAGGCCCAAGATGGCCTCGACGTCGCCACAGATGGCTCCAACACGTGGCAGAATGGCCACCATACACCCGAAGATGCCCCCAAGACGCCCCCAACGAGTCGAAAGTGAGCCTGGTAACTCAAATAACATCCGATTCCGTAGACATCGGATGGCAAATAGCGTCCGGTATCGTACTGACGTGGTTCCGTAAGAGGAATGGACGGATAAGATAGGATAAGATCGATGTATCGGTCTTTCCAGCACATAGCGAACACTCGCGGTGTCCGGGCAAATAGGGCGCGCGTGCCTTGAGCCAAAGGCAACAGCGCGCGAGCTATGCTCCCGATACTATAACATCTCCCAAAGAGCTACCTTCAAAGTCGGGAGGGGAGGAGACGGAGAGCATAGCCGCGCAGCCGTTAGGCTCTACAAAGGCCGCGCGCACGACTGTTTGCAAGAAAAAAAACAGTGTGTACAGTCTGGCCTAACACCAGACTGTAAGGCGAGTTTCCTCGCAAGGCATTTCACGCAAATTCAAGATAGCCCCTTCGAACGATGAAGGGCTATCGGCTCAGTTAGAGGTAAGCCAAACGGGCCATACCTCACTGAGCAAATATGTATTAAGGCAAAGAGCCTGAGTCATATAAAGCTGGCTCGTTGCCAGGCGCGAAATGTAAGGCTCGTTTCCGAGCAACTAGAAGGGCGCCTCTGTAGTAGGCGCCCATGCTGGCAAATTTGACCGCGGGGGGGGCAACAAGGACAGACTAAAATTGATTAGATTTGGGTTTGTTTCTGTCCTCGGGACCCCGAAAGGGAACAAACTGCTTCACGTCATACTTGAATGACTGAGTGCCTGACATCACTTCCAGAAGCAGCTCCCGATCGATGCTTCCCTTTGTATGCCCGTCTGCGGCCATATCCCTAGTATCACACCACTGCACGTTATGTACTATACCTATATCCATGAGCTCACGTATCCAACTGATATGTCCAAGCAGAGTCCGCTCTGTCGGTATCTCAAGATCCTTGCTTGATAATGATTTATAAACGGACTCAGCGTCTATGGTAAGAGATACTTTGATGGCTAGGCCTCCAACTTCGCGCATATCTCGTAGTTGTCGTGGAGTCAGAGCTCCTGCCTTGAGCTCGTGGAGAGTGATGAGCGTAGGGTAACACTCATCGAGATTATGCGCCGCTGCGAGTGCCTCCGCAGCATAGCTGGACCTCACCTGCAGTCGGTGTGATTTGCATAGTCCGTCACAGAGGTGAACGACGGACTTGCCTTGACGCGAGTTTCCTCGCCGTAGTACAATCGCCCCGCGTATGCCGTAGCCCTTGGTCTCATCATCCTCCTCCCCGGTAAGCTTCCGATACCCCGAATCGCTGTGGATGTCAACTTCATTCGTCGGCTTCATCCGAGGGAAGGTGATGCGTTTCGGGCTGCTGATCAGCTTTCGCGTCACAGCATTCAGGCGTCTGACTTGCAGATTGGTGGGCTCTTGGATTTTCTGGAGAGAGACCACGTATACCATGAGCCAGATTTGAATAAGAAGGGCATAGGCGAGGGCTCCTCGCAAGCTGACGAACATGTCGGTAATGAGTTTCGTGGCTTTGGCATCGGCCGCCGCTCCTGTAAGTTCTGGGTGTGTGATAGGAAGTAGTTGTTTGATATACTCGTCCTGATCCATAATCACATCCCCTTGATCATTCTTAGTGTAGCGAACGGCGCAGTTCGTATATGTGTGTTTGTTTAGCTTGCATTTGCAAAACACCTTTTTCGACGCGCTGTACATAGTCGTCTATATTTTTCTCTGGGCCAGTCATGTTAATATCATCGACATGTTTTGCCGTTAGCCGATCTTGGCTGAATTCAAATTCAGTGTCATAACTGGTCGGTGTAAGGCCCATAGCTCGTGTGGTCGTACGAAGTTTGAGAGAGAACGCTCTTGGAGCGTCCTTTGTACCCGTTCCTGGTTTGAGGCATCTGAGGCAGTGTCGGCTTTCGTCATAGGATGAGAAGCCGGGTAGTGTACGAAGTACCTGAGCACTTCCCGGTGGAAGAATGAAGCAGACCATGCGAGTTTCCTCGCCGGTGGCATGGGCAAGTTCCTCATAGGTCAAACCCTTGAGGAACGCCTTGTCGATATCCATGGATGATAAGATCCATTCTGGATGGCATGCCGCCTCACTTGCCAGGAGTCGTTGGGCTTGCCTTCGGGCGGTTCCCGAGAATGTTTCTACATCGAAAGCCTCAGTATCCATAAATCCACGAAGGACAAGTCTGAGACGAATGGTTTTAACGTTCTCGGTACCCACCTTTACAAACTTCCACTTGTACACATGCCTGGATGTCATGATGTTGGAAGCTTTGGATAAATCATGCATCTCAAAGCATCGGTGGTCAATCCAGATTTTGAGCTCAGTATACAAAGCTTCACTAACCTCCTTTGGATGTGCTGCTATGTCGGCTTTGGTCAATAGATCGTCTTCTTTAACGACCACAGCACGTTTAGCAGCAGAAGATACATATACTCTCATCGTTGCGACCATATCGGTGTCGAGCTGTGCAAGTTGAGTCTGATCCAATACTACTTTTGACATTTCTGATGTAAAACATAACTCAACGTAAGGACCATATTCATCACAATCAAGAGAGTAGCTCTCGTCAGGTGTGGTTGAGCAGAGAGAGACTAGACAGGACTCTCGTGGTTCAGGCTCGTCTCCGAGCGTGTCCGATGATGTGATATCTTCTTCGTCCACAGGTGCTGAAACCAAAACGCATTGGTCAGGCAGCATGGTTGTTGGGACGCAGTAGAGATAATCGTCGGTAGTCGTCGTAGGATGAAGGTCCATACGTAGTTCGTCGTACCACTCTTCCAGCATCATAGCTTCGATATTATGTTCCTCATTTTCCTCATAGATTGTCGACAGACGGCCTTCACTCGGCGATGAAGCACCAGGGGTGTCTGGAGGAGGCCTGTTTCCAGGCGAATCGTGTTCTCCAGACGTGTTGCTTGAGTGCTGATATTTAGCCAGGTCGTCGTGAAATCCTAAGGAAGGGACACGTGAAGTCAAGCATTGAATAAGTCTGGAATGAGTGCTACCAGTGATCTGAGAAATGTTTAGGCCGGTGCCCACACATTCGTAGTAGTGGAAAGCCGGGCTGATATCGTTGTCATAGTGGATCAGCGTAGACCCGGTGGCGTACTTTACTGCAGGTAGGCTTGACACACTTTTGGCCAATCTAACTGCTACTACATGTTCTACTCGGAAGTAGTTTCGCACGAGATACTGTAGTGCTAGATGTACGCGCGGGTGAAACTTGCTGTCGTCTGAAAGATTGAGGTTTCCCTTGTACTCGGGGATATAGCCGAAAACTTTGGCAGGTTTCCCTGCGCCGAGATGTGCCACATATGTAAGGACGGTTTGCATGGCCATATTATCCATGCCAAGTTCCCGTGCGAGGAGACATTCAATGTATAGCGTGTGACGAGCATCAGGATACATCACAATTACCTCACGAGATCCTG